TTAACAATTTTATCCCAACCTTATGTCTTTATATTCAATCTGTTTTAAACGATAAACGATCTAAAGGATAAAACAGTATGAGTTTTAAAATTAGGTGCAGATGCCAATGTCTACCTTGGCCTAGGCGATAGAGCGATCTTCTAGAGAATTTAATTGGTAGGTAAGCCGCGATACCATACTGGCAGACGCAAACTGTTTAAGAATCAACTACCGGAAATATCGGTGTGCAATTTTCAATGTACTTTTAAAATTTTTATAGAATAAAATATCTCGTTGGAGCGAACTTAATTCCAAAGCCTAATGCCCCGAAAATCGTCATTACAGCGTTATCAATGTTTTTACAAAAAAGCTGACAAGTAGATGAAATTTGAATCAATCCTGGAATTTTCGCTGATTTTACAAAACATTCTTGTACATTTTAAATCGAACATGGATAATTTTTGTTGTTTTCCCGAAATTCGTAGATACGATGACGTCATACAGCACAGAATGCACCTCTAACCGTGTTCTTTAAGTATATTTTGCTGCGCATAACCTCAAAACCGAGAAATTTTTACTACATCAGTGATATCAAATGAAGTGTATATTTTACTGATATTTACTGTCATGAAAATCTCAGAAATGACGTCATCGTCACAAAAGATGACATTTTTTGGTACGCTTTATCTACCTTAACATACAATGGCAACTTTGCACAAACGGCGAGTAGTTGATGGATTACCATCCCAATAAAAGTGGCGGAAAATGCGGGGGTGCGGGGGGAGGTGTGTTTGTGGAGCAACCACCCCCAGGTTTTGCTAAATTGTCGGTTTTCTCGCTAAATTTTCGGTTATGTCATTTGTCGGCAAATTTGCTTGCTTTTGTGGGCATTGCCCCTCTCCCTAATTGAAAAATGAATTTCCGCCACTGCCCAATATTATTGAAGCGAAAATGATTGAATCTGGCTTGTAGCTAACATTTGTAAAGCTGTGCAATGCCTATCAATTTGGTCTTGGTTTTTGACAAGCGGTCTTTGCAGTTTGTGCATAGTCTTAGACCAGCAACCATAAGAGCCTCGTTGTCGCGAAAACCATAGGAAAAGTTTAGCAAAATGTAATATTTTTCCAGGATGACGTCATTTCTCCATTACAGTAAATCTAAGCAAAATATAAGCCATTACATTTAATAGAAGAAAGATATAAATCGATATCCCTAAGCTTACTTGATCTAACACTGCACTTCCTTGCGTGAGAGTAAATTGCTTTTTATAACCTCACCATACCTGCACTACAGTCATAATTTATATCTAACAGATTTTGAAAAGACTATTGTTTTGCAAAAGCATCGGAGGACCAAGACATTGCGGAAGTTAATGAAGGCTGGTTTTGGTTAGAGTGCTGTAAGCTCTCTAAATCTCCAAAACAAGTCTTGTTAGCACTTTTATTTAACTAGAAAAAATCGAAGGTATTAGATTGAAATGAGGTGTTTGGCTAAAGCACAAACAATGCCCAAGGCCGTAACTATTTGTCTAGTACCTCCTACCACCAGTGTTGATAAGGAGATACTGCTAGCATCAATCTGCATAACAGTATTCTTTCATCGATATAACTTGATCACGGAAGCATTTTTGCACCAACGGGTGCCTCTCTAGATGCGTAGTTCGTTTAGGATTTTTAAAGAACTTGAGAGGAATGTTCATTGGTTTAGTATGCTGTATATCTTGTTTAAAGCAAGGTTTTCGCAATGAAAAGTCGAGAAAGGGTTTTGTTTGAAGGCATGCTTGGCATTGCATCCTAGTAGAAAGAACCCTTTCTTCGTCATTTTTTGGGCAAAATCTATCAAGAAAAAGAATTTTCGACACGGTCATTGTGATAACAAAGTCCTTTAAAGAGAATGCTGGATTTTTAGAATTTTGCTTAGGTAACCTGATGATTAAACGTATTATTTTAAAGAGCATTTAAAAAGATAATACAAGGGTTAACTATCGTAATCTGATCAGAAGTCCTATTCTCATTGAAAAAGCGATTCGATGACCTTAAGGTAACTTCTTCACTACCTTTTCGCTGCTGCAGCATTTACTTTAGGCCTGTTTGTTTTTCAATTTGAAAATTGTTGTTATCTTTAAGGTTTCATCGGTTAGAAGATGCTTTTCACGCTATTTAAGACATTAAATATTGTTTTTTCTTTTAAGAAGGCCGGATAATTTTGCGCAATTAGAAAACGTTTTCATTACGTCAGAGTTAAGGTCAACGAAAAACGTGTATGAACCGAATCAAGTTTTACTATTTTTACTTAAATGTTGCAAAACACTCGGCACTCAGAAGCTCTTTCTGTTCAGCAACGGGGAAAATTTGCTTTCCCATAACAGCCTCGGTCGGGAACCGCCTCCTTCAATGTGAAATAAATGGTTTCTTGTTAGATTGTGGGAAAATTTGATGATAAATTTCTTTAAAAGGTTCTACTTTAATCTCTGCAATAAATTTCAATATTACTGGAAATGAATTGTTTATTCACCAAGACGTAGATAAAAGACTTACCCTGAAGCAATAAGGATTCAGCGTTAAAGCGGTCGATTATCCATTATGTGTTATTAAACGGTAACTTTATTCTGTAATCCAGTTAATGCGTAACACTTAAGTTTGAAACCTCAAAACACCTAGGACAGGCTTACTTTGAAATCTGCCTCGTGCTCACTGCATTCTTTTTTATAGTTATAAGAGCCTTTAGTTTTCCGATTGAATTTGTTTCCAATGTTAACTTTAATCAAAGGCTATCTCAGTGTGGGTCTTTAATTCGTAAGAAACTTTTTTTCATTTTGGTAATCAATTTTTTCATCCAGATGCTATTATTTTTGCTTGACTTGCTATTAAACAGGCAGTAATTCTGAAAGGCAACTAAGAAATCTTCTTCCCGCCGAAAAAGTTTTGAATTCGAAAAAAAAAACAAATTTTATTTTCCGGATATGATTTTTTGAGGCACCTTATCCAATATTATAGTTACAAACATTGAATTGTGTAATTTTTGATGCCACAGTTGAAATTTAATTCTAGAAGATATGCAGTTTAAGTTGTCTTTGTAAAGGATTAATGCATCACAATTTATTTGGTTTATGACTAAACCAATATCCGAAACCTTCAGTGTGTGGCTGAAAACGCAAGAGGAGAAATTATTTAAGTATTATTTAGACATCAATTTCATTGGCTCAGCATTATTTAAAAAAAAATTTCCCTTGAAGACTATGCATGGACAATGGACAGACAACGATTGCTAAGAACAAGGGAAGCTTTGACGAGGTTCAAAAATCAAGTTTTGCAAAAGCTTGACCCCAGTTGTGACTTTTCTTTGTTTAAAAGGAGCACTGTTTTCTGAGAAATATGTACGCTTTGTGATTGCCAATCAAACTGATGATTTTGGATTGTGAAATGTATGAAATTCGGTATAAATCTTTTAAACACGTGAAACTTTGATTCCAAATCGTTTTGTGCGATACATTTTTTTGTATCTGAATATTTGTTCTATTGTGCACTCTTAAATTTTTGTCAAGATGTGTGCTATTGAAATTTATTTAGAATTTGAACAAAAGAGAGGAAATGTAGCAGACGGTGATATGGCAAATTTCGTCTGAGACTTTTGAACATTTGCACAGCACATTTGAACAGTCAAAAAGGACCTCCCGTCTTTTAGGCGTCAGTGTTTTTGTAGGATTATGAAGATCTTCAATTCACATTGGCCACTGTTTTGGTCACAATTCTTTGTTAAACCAAATCTTTCATCGTCTTCTGTTTTATTAAATTGAGCTTCTAGTGAACCGAAAGCCTTTCCCTAATCCATGAAATTACAAAAAAATAGCGAGGAAAAGTTTTAGTCAAGTTCTGTTTTTTAATTTGCATTCTGTTATTTTGACTTTGAGGAAAGAAGATAAGGAAACAATTTGTGTCCATTGTCAGCAGTATTTTAAGTAAATATCGTTTGATCTGACACGAAACATAACAACCCTGAAGCTAGACAATTATTGTCTCATTTTATGTCGATATTGACATATTTCATTCATTCTTTAATTTTGTTTTCCATGTCCTCGAGGCTTGCTTGTTAAGTGCCCCGTTCAGCTCTTCAATATGAGATTACAGACATCGATAATTCTTTCCTCCAAAAATAGCGCACTTATTGCACGAAGTATAATGAAGAATTTCAAAGTAATTGGTGAAAAATAATCCAATGAATGAAAGCAAATTAATAAAGATATTAACGATTCTTTATATCAGTAAACCACTTTTAAGTTGTTTCCTGAAATTTCTTCATTTTTGGTCATAAATACTGGCATGGTTGGCTCTATCCCGACCAAATTTAGATAAGGTGGTTATAACAACCTCGTGATTTGTGTATTTTGCCAGACGTCATCCTCCCAGCTATGAATTATTTCCTATTAGCGTAGTCTTTACCCAGAAAATGAATAAAACAATTTTTATTGTGGTTAGATCAGGGTTTTGCATTTAATTGTCACTTCAACAGACCTTGAGGCATAACATCAGCTCTCAACTTGCACGCCAGAGGCAATCATATTCTGTCTCTGTTCATCACTTTGACAGATTTATTATCTTTCATCTTGATTGAGTAATTTTTGCACATTCTCAAGAATCCAATTTTTTCAAAGAAATGTGTACCTAGCAATGACAAAAACATTAACTTAGATCTGCGGTATCCACTCTAGATTAAGCAAATTTTATCTTCGCCTTCCTTTCCGCATCTCTTCTTAAATCGTGGTGTTGCTGCATTCCGTTCATCACGTCCTTTCTAACAAACAGTATATGGCAAGTTCCGACATACCCCAAGCATATAATATGATATTTGAATGTTTCTTCAAATTCAAATACGTCAATTGGAATCAAATACGGCAAATGTCGTCTTCAGAACGACAGTTAACGCACAAACTGACAATTCAATAGAATAAACAGCAAAATCTAGCTTCGGCTTAATGTACTATTTAGTATTTTATCAATGATTTGTTATATTTCCATTCGTAGGAGGCATATTTGTGCGATGCAAAAGACAGAGAATAACGGCCAGCCAGCTTATCGTTCCTATTGTGCTCCGCAGCTGCAAACGTATATGCGAAACTGTGGTGGACATATGGGAGACAGGGGTGGCTTCTGCACAGGATACAGGTATGATGTCCAAACGTGTTCACTTGTTAGAAAATTTTGTAACTGCTAGTCAAACTTTCTGGCTTACTTTCTATCTTTCTTCTAACTTATCGAATTATTTCTAACTTATTTCGAAATCTTCTTTCACGCTGTTTAAGAAAGCGTACTTTTTCAGTTTATGTATGCAAAAAACAATTATACTGAACGAGCTATACGGTAACTATATCGTCACTTCAAATGGCGGATTTGCCTCTTATGTAGTCATATTATCTTCTATAGCTGACCTTGTTAGGGAAGAGGATTTGTGCTAGGGATTATATACAATTCCGAAGAATTTTAATGAACCAAGAAGTATATTGTAGAATGCATGAGAATTCAGTTTTGACCCGTGTCAGCGTGAGAAGAGAGCGAAATGTCTGTGTCTCGCCTAAATACATGGGACTTGAAAGGTCTGAACATAGTCGCAATGAAGTCAGATAGAAATAGATCTAGAGTCGCATTTTACTCATTATATGCGATGCATACTTAAAGCCTTTCCTTCGAATGACATACGAAAATACATTGAAAAAAAATTTCACTTGCCACTGTCGACATGTGTTTTTACTGACATTGTCCTTCTTTTTCTCTTTGCCACTGGCAGTTGTGTAGTGGAGTGGTGTTTTGGGCTGCAGCGTTATACTACTTAAACAAGCAAACAGTAGCGTTATGCTTCTTGAATATCAGTATCATACTAGATATAAGTGATATCAGATCAGATCAAACAGTAGCCAATTTTTTATAGGACCATTTAGCAAATGTATTGTTTAGGCTTTAAACACTTGTCTCAACCAAGGTTCGAGTGAGTATGAAAGTGATTCAAGTCACATGAAGATATCACAATTGCATTTTTGAAATTTGCTAATGTAGACTGGGCATGTGTAGTTCAGAGGTCCTTTCTTCGTGATTGTGTCCAGTACCATAGGAAGAAAATAGCTCATTGGTCAAAAGAGAGAGAAAGATCATAGAAGAAGTGAGTGTATATGGTTACCTAGGTCGACTACTATTATCCAAAAATGAAAAAAATACGAAAATTGAGAGAGGAATAGCTGCAGGAAGGCAAAGATATGGTAAATATGACGATTCATGAGAAAAAGTCAATGCTTTAAATTTGAAGAAAAAAGTAACGGATGGAGTTGTGATACTAGCAACAACATATGGTGTTAAAACATGGCCGCTGGCATAAATTGGCAGTGGCATAGAGAAGCATAGAAAGAGCACTGTTTAACATCGCATGCCTGAACAAGTTGACAAATGAAAGCTTAAGACCACAAACCAATGCATGACGTTTATATGAGTAGCGAATGGGCAAGCCATGTAACCAAATTGACACAAAAAGTTGAACAGAGAAGATACCAATCTCACTAAAGAGGATGCCTTGAAAATGTACGAAAAGGTTATCTGCAGAACATCGCATACATCACTTTGATGAGACGCATGAAGTAGAGCGCAAAAAGTTAAAATTTCAATGCAGGGATGTTTAGAAATGCACAAAGTATGATATTTTTTTGAAAACCGCTAGTGAAACGCTGTTTTTGTTTTATGACTTTAGCGTTATACTTCCTAAGAATTTACGACTACACCTCTGGCCACTGCTCTAATTTTGCAACTGTTTCTCCTTTCTCTACTCCTCTCTAGTGTATCGGTTTTATCAATCACTCTACTTTGTATCTTCCACATATGTCATCTCTGATTGTGTTATATTTAATTGCTGATTGCCCCTGTTTAAGGGCATTTAATCCTACTTCTGCTCTCAACATCTTAATAACCAACATTTTAATGGTAAAGGGGATCCAGTTGTGGTAAAGAAATGCAATCTGCTTTCTCTAAGCTAACCTTCAAATCATTATGTATAACATAGTAAATGTTTCATTGGAAATAATACGAAATTTCTTGATCATCCGAACCAAATATAACTTTGTTCTGTTCTTTCGGTTTTTGCAGATGCCAGAAAGATATAAGTAATAGACTTAATGATATACACTCCCCTCACAAAAGTATTGCACCACCTTGTTCAAAATGGCGGCACTTTTTGTCAATATTTTTACAATACAAAACATTTGAATGCATGAATTGGGGCAAATAGGCAAATTTTATAGCAAATTTCGGCGGGAAAAGTTGGCAAATTTTGCTGACGCCATAGAATACCTGGTTAGAAATGTAAATTTTACGCAAAAACATTAATGTTTTATAAAATGTAGACCACGCCTGAGGGAGAAAATTTGTCAAATGAGATGCGTCTTTAATTTTTGAAAAATTGTTGACCATGTTAGATGCAGCCACACAACAGCTTCAATAAATCGAAAAAGTTTCTCGAGAGTGCTTCAGTAGTAATAAACCAAGAAGTGGGTGAACAAAAAAAATTGACGTTAGAGGGGTAGCGATTTTGTCTGTTTTACTTCACCATTTTTACACCAAGAGACAGGAAAAGACCTGAAACTCGACGCTGAGCAATGTTTTGCAGCTCAAAATTCTTCCAAATAAAAAATAATGAGTGTCTTACAAAAATATAGAATAAAAATTCACCTGATTAAAGGGAAACCATTTTTACAACGATTTTTTTCCGAACAAGAAGAATTCAAGTTTTTCCGTGGCGTCGTTCAAGTCCAGATTTGTACATCGTTAAAAATGGTTGGCTTCGTATGAAAAACATTACGAACCATACTTTAAAAGGTTCTTGAAGAACCAAAGAATCGTTAATTATAAAAATTTTTCAGGTTTGGTTATGAAATTCCACAATAATACATTGCTCAATTATATGCAACCAATTCAAGAAGGCATAAAGCTGTTTCAAACTTGAAACTGTTAAAAGACGTTTTGAAACTGTTATTTTAAAAAAACTGCTCTTAAAAGATTGAAGTTTTAATTGGTGGTTGTTTCACTTCCGACAAACTCCCATTCGCCACTTAAAAGCAATCAATTCGCGCAACAATAGCTTTAGATAATTCTTGCGCCATTTTTCCTCCTTCGAGGTGGTGGAATACTTTTGTTAGGGGAGTGTATGTAATTTCAAAACATAATACCACATCAATGGATCTGTGAAATTTAGCGTTCATCAATTACTATGATTGCCGCTTTGTTTAAATTGTAACAGATGCTGGATGCAATAGTTATGCATGCAAGCTTTTCTGAAGAGACAAACTTTTCACCTTTCAGAAAGCTGTTTCTAGATGTATATTCTGTTTCAAGCACTTCATTTGTAGTTACTTTTCAAAGCTTTTGAAAATCATTTCGTCAAAAACTGTCTTACGATTTCCTGAAATGCGCGAGGGGATAACCAATCCTTTATTCCAGCTACATTTTCAAGCAATCATATTCTCGTAAACAGGTATTTTCCAAACTTTATTCAACATTCTACATCTGTTCGTGGCACTCAAATGCGTTTTTAGTGAATCATATCTGACGTTTCGAATCTGGGAAGTTGAATTTAAAATCTTTAACAGCTTAAAGCTCCCCATAACTGTCCATTTATCACGATTTATCGCTAAGACCGTTGCAAAATATCTTGATTCCGTATTAGCTTCACCCAAAGTTGATGGTGTCCTTGCAAAAGGAATTGCAATTTTAAACGCCGTCTTCTTCAGCCATCAAGTGTCAAAATTAATAAATTTTATCTGACTGCATCATAAAAGAACTTTTGTGGATCGTGACAGGAATGTTATTATCTAGATCTGCAGTTGAAGCAGTGTCATTATCTTGTCAATTAATTCTTGAATGCGAATGCTATATGAATTTGTCTCTTTTTAATGATTAAAAAATCAGCCGAGACGATGTCCCTAAATAACATTAACTGAACAAAGATGTTTTCTTATATCTTTCTCGTCAAGGTATTTATTTTTTTTTTTTTGGTATCGCGAATTTTGAAGATGGCACGAAATGACGGAAACTTGGCATACTGAAGTATATTTGTCCGACACACTTGATAGTATAACGTCGGATAATGAGCGGATGTGAGCTGAAAATTTACAATTTTCACTGCACGTCCTCCTTGGCATTGTTGTACCTGCCACAAGAAACAGTGTTTTTGTTTCCTATTGTCACCAGACTATACAAACATGATCGATTTCTACGAATTTTTAGCAAAATCATCTAATTTTTTAATGACAATTAGCACTTATGTCTGCAAAGATGGAGAAAATTGGAACTAATCCCGTTATAAGTTTTCCTAAAAGTTATGTTTTTAAGAGAGGTGTGCCAAATCCGTCTTGGGCCCCTAAGAAGAATTTGTCGAGCTGCCCCTGGTTTTAAAAATCTGATCTCAATACGATTTATAAATCGAACAGATAATTTGATTAAAGAGAAGGTATCTTAAAGATATTTTTTAATAGTCTTCCTCGAATAGAATATTTACATAATATGTGCAAAAATTTTCTAGCAGTGCTTTAGCTTTTAAATTTTGGTAATAACCAAAATGAAAGAAGAAAGTTATTCGTCGATAGCTATTTTTTAATCATTATACATCATCCTACTTAAGGATCTTTCAATTGATTTATTTTAATATAAAATACATTGTATTTTTTGTGGCCTTCTGCAGCTCCTAAAAGTTGCTCTGGCCCGGATATTTTGCCACTACAGCACTGTCTGGCAACGATTAATGATACTGCAAATGCTGATACTGCTGATACTGCAAATATTGATACTGCAAATACTGATACTGCAAATACTGATACTGCAAATACCGATACTGCAAGTACTGATACTGCAAATACTGATACTGCAAGTACTGATACTGCAAATGCTGATACTGCAAGTACTGATACTGCAAGTACTGATACTGCAAATGCCGATACTGCAAGTACTGATACTGCAAATACTGATACTGCAAATACTGATGCTGCAAGTACTGATACTGCAAATACTGATACTGCTGATACTGCAAGTACTGATACTGCAAATGCCGATACTGCAAGTACTGATACTGCTGATACTGCAATACTGATACTGCAAATGCTGATACTGCAAGTACTGATACTGCAAATGCTGATACTGCAAGTACTGATACTGCAAATACTGATACTGCAAATGCTGATACTGCAAGTACTGATACTGCAAATACTGATACTGCAAATACTGATGCTGCAAATACTGATACTGCAAATACTGATACTGCAAATACTGATACTGCAATACTGATACTGCAAATACTGATACTGCAAATGCTGATACTGCAAATGCTGATACTGCAAGTACTGATACTGCAAATGCTCATCAAAGTGATGATCATCAAAGCCTGATCATCAAAGTATATTTATATCTAAAATCTACAAGATACTACTAGATTCATTTCTATGAAAATGTTGGAGCTTATACAGCTGTAGGTGAACAAAGTTCCACAAAGTGTTGTTAATAGATTAAATAAAGGAAACAAAGTTTCTTTGCGCTGAAAAAACCATAAAGTTTAATACCTTTGGCGACGCATAACTCCGACTACGAAAATTTTGAAAAATATTTGCTGACTTTAATTTGTTGCTGCCTCACAACAGTATTTGGTAAAACGGTTCCACTGAGAAAAGTCACTGGCAGATCGGTTCTACGAAGAAAAGTTAACCTGATTCATAGTATGGCTAAGACTCAAGAGACATGCTTATATACTATTGGAATTGTATGCATTTATTTATCGACATAACCGGCCTTTGAAATAAGAAATGTTGAAGATTCTGGCACATTTATGAATCAAAATCATGCAATGTAATGACCCTTAAGAAAGAAATAAAAGAAATAAGTGTGGTTGAGACAACACTGGACTTGAAAGATTATTCCAGCCCCGATATGGCTCTTTTATAACAATTGTTAACTGTTGATGAAATTAAGAAATATGCTCATGTGACCTTAACCTTCTCTTGTTTCGTCGGACTAAATTCCTGTTAATTCCCGACAGAATCACTTTCCTTATCCAAAACATAAAGAAACACTCTGTTATGCCGGTGTCGACAACTCGTCAAAAGTGTTCCATTAACACCGATTTCTTATGTGAATTCAAGTCGATTAATGTTGTACCAAAGATTAATGAGAGGGGATTACCTTTCGATGATAGATTCTTTCCTATAATCTCTCAAAGACATCAAAACGCAAAGCCTCCATCCTTTTACAAAGTAGGAGGCTTCTGGATTTGTTGCACGTCCATGCAGAAACCGTCGTATTGTCAATACAGTTTTTCATTGATACATTTGTCATTTTCAGGTTTTTCCTTATTGTTCCATTCAACTCTTTTGTTCAGTTTAAACTGCTGATTTGTAAAGAAACTTCTGGAAACTTAAATCCTATAATTTAGCCTATTGGACTAAGAATACTTCACTCATCCAGCTAGCGAATTCGCAAATTATATTTATTTCTGACTGACCCTTGTAAAGTGCATGCACACAAGAAGAAATAAATCTAATAGAAGGACATTATGTCATTAATCGTATTTGAAATTAAATTGAAACAGTGACCCTTGATACTGTGCTTAATAAGTTTTGCCAGAGACTGTTTCTACAAACGATTTCGAATGCTTTTATCAAAATCCACTAACGTAAAATTTAAATTTTTCATTGTTACTGATTGAGGAACGTTTTTTACAGTGCAAGCTAAAGATATGGTCTATTGTCGAGAATCTTTTCCATTAACCGGCTTGTCCAGCTATGGTTTTCAAGATAGCTGTAAAATTTTATGTTACGTAAGCCAGTGAAAAATTTCCCTAGTTTAGTTTACCCAAGCCATCATCTTTAGAGATATCAAGAATTTAATATTCAACTCTGTTTCTGACAATTGATTTGTAAATATCAAATTTATTTATATAACATATTTAACGTTTCGCTGTAAGCTTCAAGCTAATTTTTCGCCATCAAATTAAATATTTCACTTATACGAATGGCGGTCTGAGACAATGGACTCCATTGAATGGAGACATGCAAAAAATAATTAGGGATGGAACAAGTTTAGTGTAATGTTATCCATACTTGTTTTAATTGTAATTGTTTTTTTCTATGATTTTCCTTTATATTTCGCTGATGAGCAGAAATCAGCTATCAAAACTAATTCTTTGCTATCTTAAATTGTCATTTTCGTTTGTAAAAGTTTTTATTCCCAAAAGTTGGGCCACCAGGAATAGCACAGAAGGTAAATGAAGAGGTGTTGAACTGAGAAATAGAGGGAATTTAAGAGCTAATTTTTGCCAGTTAAACTTTCGACGATAATTTGAAAAAGCTGGTCTATTGAATTTTCAGTTATTTCAATTCGCATTTTTTCTATTTGGAATTGTTTATATTCATTTAATTTTAAAGTCTCCAATTTGTTTGAAAGGGCCGGTTAAAAGCTTTCTTGCATCCTTTAAAACACCTATAAAAATTTCCATGTTCAAATTAAACATTTGAGAAAAGGGCAAATTTTTGGCAAAAACAGCAAATGTTTTTGTAAGTGATGCTCGTTTGATTTTCGTTATTGCCTTTAATAACAGTGAACATCTTCGGCCAGTTACTCAATTGTGTATGAAACATACATTAAAAGCGTTATCATCTTGCTTTCACTGGTAACCTAAACAATTTCATATCCTACTTTTTTATACTCTCATGTCCCAGAAACTATGCAGACATGTTTTGAAAAAGGTATTGAAAAGGGGTATCGTTAAACCAATCTAGCTATACTGTTAAACCTTGCAGTAATAACCTAAACAATTACTAAACAACTCATTAAAACCTTTTTGATGCCCTCTTTTTCAGAAGGAATGGTTTCTTTTCTACGTACACTTGGTATGATTTTTAAAAAGTGTATTTGTACTGGGAAAAAAGCATAAGATACTTTTAGTATACAAATGAACCTATTTCTTTGAATATATTTTAAATAAAAATTAGATGCTAGACGGAAGAGGCCCACCAGTGGTGGGCAAAAGACTATATTTTTCAGCAATGTTGCAGCATATTTATTCTGTCTTTGCATCTGTATGTTTAAAGATGCCTCAACGAGATTTTGTGAGATGTTTACAGCAAAATAAGTCGATGTGCTAGTAGCTACTAAGCTAGTAAATTCAGCTATGTTTCCCAGACCTTTGGTATTATAATTCTAGTCTTTAATATGCTCAGTTATTTGCTGTCTTTTTCATTAGAATAATCATATATGATATATAATGTTTCTTTATGCACTCTAAAATGAATGCAGATGTTGCTTTTTCTAAACTCGCAGAAAGCACATGCTTATCAAGTAGCGATAATTTTCCATGCCTTGACCCTCCGACTTTTAGCGTTATTGTTCAAATTTCCATGCAAATTCAAATGCCTTTAAAAGTAAAAAGGAGAGACTGGCCGATTTTTTGAGATGTTTGTATCTGGGTAGACAATTTACGACCAAACCCAAGGCCAGTACAGGAACACAAGTAAATTTCGCTTGGGCTACCACAGTGCCTAGTACATTGTTCCTTTGTCCAAAGTGAACCAGGAAAGAGGCATAAGTGCCAGTGATCCTTAAGGAACATGGTGATTTGCTCTAAGCCCTTCTGTCTGTAGGTCTAATTCTTTCCCACGACGTATGGCAACCTTCACTTCTCTTTGTCATTCTTCACTCTGAAAAAACATGAAATAATCATGAAGTAACAAGCTAAAGTCTATGGCATAGATACCGTTGTTGATACGTCTTCCTCTTTTATTTAGCAGAAAAAGTTGAATTGAATCTTAGATTACATTCAGTCTGCGTGCACTGTCTATTAAAACTGCCCATCTAAAGTTGCATCAAGCAGTTCGCGAGCAAGGCGACATTGGCAGAAACAGAATTTGCTGCTTGATCAAATTTTCGTGTTAGCTGACTTACATAGAAAGAAATTATTACTCAGTTACTCAGTTTTCGGTTATTTAACATATTTGAATGGCTTTAGTAACCTAGCAGAGAATATATTACCTTAATTTTTAAATAGCTAACGATCGAATTAACTTAAAATGTGTAGTACAGGTAGTCTGCAAAATGATCATGGATTTACATCAGCTCAATTTTGAGCTAGGTATGTCTACAATAATTTGCCCAGCAACATTAATTAAACTGTGGTCTTTAAAGACTTTATGTTGCATTTTTATGAGTCTTTTATTTATATATATTGATTTTCTAGGACGATATACAGGACAGTTTACAAAACTGTTTATCGCAGAGCACGCAGCTCAAAAATGCACTTCATGTGTTGCCCTGGATGGAAAAAGGAGCCAGCCTCTTTTGGATGTTTAAAACGTAAGAATTTTCTTTTGCTTGCATGTGAAAGTGGTAAAATTTGAAAGTCGTGGCTGTAATTTGCACTTTGTATTTTGAATTTGCACGAGACCCTCGACGGAGAAATTGTCATTTGAGCTTAACACTATGTCTGTAGCAGATTACCTCACGTTTCAACTCGCGATCAGTTAATTGATACAATGTGTGTTGAAAGCCTCGATATAATCTTCTTTCTGGCAAAAAGTTGTATCTTTTTGCTATATTTGATATTCTAACGATGGCATTGGACCTTATTTACAAATAGTCTTTCTCGTCATAAAACGTTTTCCCTACTGCTTATTGAGTTTATTTTCTGTCCTTTATCTTTCTTTATCCATGGGTACTAAAATTAAAGGTTTCAATTGGGATCATGGCATTTTCAATTTCTGCATCATTTTCGATAATTTCTGATTCAAATCATCATTGCTGCTTCCCTAAAGTTGTCCTTTTTCAGGCTAAATGGATTCAGTATAAAACGAGATTCTAATTTTTAAGAGGCTATTTGTTGTCCCAAGACATAAGATTAGTTCATCCTCCCATTCTTCTCGTCACGTGTTCTTCTGGATTGTATTATGCGATTTTGATTGCCTCAGTATCAACTAGTATCACATTTTAATTTCCATTGTTTGTTTCCATCATTCTTTGTAAACGATGCCGCATTTCGTTCATCTTTGCGCAATCGTTTGTTGATACCTAAGCGAATAACCAATCCTGTGGTTAGACTTCAAAGGGACAAATTTGCACACTGAAGAACTTAAGAGATCGTTTTTAAAGCTATACAGCTAAGCATGATTAAAATACACTCAATGCCAATTGTTTGGATTAATTTCAATACTTAAGGCATATTTTTCTCCATTAAAGTTGTTAATGTCATGATTCATCGTAGCCTGTGGCTTGCAATTGGGCGAATCAACAGTTTTGTCACTGCATAACTTCATTATCATAACCAGAAGATTTAAAATTTTACCCAACCGCTAACTCTACCGATAAACAAAGATACGAATCCAACTGATACCTATCAAATGCGGGTATTGGACTGCAGGCATTTCTAGACGCAGCAGCATTTGTGGTATTTTTATTACGGAGACAGGGCTTTCTGGAATGCTGGTCATTAGCTTTTAATGGCTTTCAAGTACCACATGGGTATCTGTTCGACCTGCAAGCGTCACAATTACTTTTCGAAGCATCTGTTTCTTCTTACCACCTTCAATTCATTTGTCAAGCAATGTCATGCGTAACTGCTTTGAGAAAATCTTTCTGAAAGAGAAAGTTCACACTTTTATTTGTTTAGTTTTCAAGCAAATAAAAAGACAAAATATACGTGGTAATGATAGCAAAGATTTGAGTTCTAATTGTATATATAACAGCATGTGTGCGAGATAAAGCCCCTAGAAAAGGATAACGTTTTAAGTGACAAATATCACGAGACTGCCTTTTCTTGATGCAATAATTTCAAAATAAGGTCTCTTTGAAGTTGTTTTTAGATGATATAGGTCTTTTTTGAAAATAATCTCGGGTCTAAGACAAAGTCGATTTGAAAAGTGGCGATTTTAATGAAGTCGTTTATCACACGTTCAAGTAGAGAAATCAACAAATAATCGCTTTACTTTCGATTTTTGGACGATATAAACGGCCTTGAAATTTTTTCTCATAGCTGTTTGTGAAGAAGATTGCCAAAATGGCGGAACTTGCACATTGCCGAATCGATGTAAATGCCCCAAGGGCTTTTCTGGCAGAACTTGCTCGGATGGTAGGTATCACAATTTTTTGTAATTATTTAACTTTTCTCTTTGCAATAAATGCATCATTAATGCTTTGCCAAAGAAATATTTTGAAAAATAGACCATGTAAGCTTGAGCTTTCCTCAAGAAAGCTTTCTTTGCTCATTCTTCCCTCATAAATTGAACGACTTATCCTGTTTCTGCGTTGCAGACTACCAGTGTACACATTTTATTACTTAGAATCCGACTCAATTGGCTATGGTTGATAGTTGATGGTTTATGAAAACAATGATATTATATCTTTCCCTTGATTAAAACCTTTATATTATACTATATATATCATAGATAATAATGATCTGTTGATAGGATAGTACGAATCGCTGTACAATCGTGTTAATCTTTATTTATTCAGAGAATAATTAATAGGAAAAGGGTTTGATTGCCATTAAAATGTTAACGTTACATGTTGGTATGATTTGAGGTAGAAGTATTGCGAACTTGAAAATCTGTGACCTTCTTTTACAGATACGAACGAGTGCCAGGTAGAAAATGGAGGATGCTCTCAAACATGCATTAATTCTGTCGGATCTTATAAGTGTGAATGCAGTGATGGATACAAATTGGCAGAAGATGGAAAAAAGTGCATCGGTAGGTAGCTTACTGACACAAGAAGAATATAACCTTCTGCCTTTCCAGTGACTCAGCCTCAGCATTTATAACACAATAACAACAATGGTAACACTCCTATTCCATAATATTGGCATATCGTAGCGATTACATCTCGCTTGCTGACTTTCCTGCAATAGTCAATAAACCATTACCCGTAATGATCAAATTGCAGTTACTTATGCACCATGACCATCAGTGTCTCGAGTAAGCTCTCTGTTTAGCCTCGTAGTTTGAAAACTCTTTTTCTCTATAATAGGCCTCCTTTATTATGCTTGTCTTTTTTTATAAAAGCAGTTAATTTTTAACAATCATATTAGAATGTAATTATCAGAGTACACTTGTATGCTGCTTTTTTAGTTTATTTTTCAATCAGATATCTCCTATCCAATTTATACTAGGTCACAAGTCTTATTTTTTTACTTGGATATAAACGCTCTTCTGAAAATAGTTTTGAATAACCCTCCTTCTCAAATACGCCCCCACTCGAGAATTCTTCCTCTCGACTATACCCCCTCTCTAGCATCGATTGCAACATATTTTAACTATGGCTATAGAAATACTGTTGTTTTCTGTGCACCTTTGCGATAGATATGGAAGTAATTAATAGCCCCCGCAATAATCTATCTGCAATTGATTATGCACCGCAATAATCACACTACAGTAGTATCATAGTGCAATTCTCACAGTCCGCTATAATCGCTAACCACAATAATCACATATTGTAACTATCAACAACCAGTGTCTACCGCATCATTCATATAGGTATCGCAATAACTACCGACTGCGATAATCCAATGTCAATTGATCATACAACTTTGTAATCCCATTGCAGTAGCAAAATATTGCAAAATCACAATTTCAAATAATCCAAATAGATATGAACTACATATTACATCAAAAATTTACTAAAATCTAGGTAACTAAAATCACGGATATCTCTCAAGCAATCCTTGTATGCTCCTAGAAACGATGAAAAATTGGTTTGTGTCAAATTACCTTTTCTGCGAATTTGTCCAAAGAAACAGAACCAGTATACTGCGTGTGCAGTACATTTTCCTCTCATACTCAAACAGTCTATGATGCCTTCCTATGTCTACAGACTAGACAGGAGGGTATGCTCATTTACTGGCACACTTTTGACCAAAATACCTACGTAACTGAACTGACTAATCCTGAAATTTGGGCCCCATTTAACAGTTTTTAATCACTTAAATGAGAAAGTCCAAAAATCCATGGCTGCTAAAGAGCTCATCAATACCTCAGAGTATAAGTTTAATACCGTTGGACTTCTCAATCTTCGAAAACTCTCGAACATATTTCTTAACATTAGAGATCAAGCTGTCACATTTTTAGGTACAACGTTTCATTCATCCAACTTCACAATATTTATCATTGTTGATACAACGATGTCAAACATTTCTTTCACGATTTTTTTCTGTTTTCTTTTTGCTTGCCTTGGATGTAGTTCATCATTTCTTCCACGATTTTTTCTGTTTTCTTTTAGCTTGTCTTGAATGTAGTTCATCATGGAAATACCTCACGTTGAAAATAGAAGCAATGGAAAAGGTTGGTTCCCCTTGATTTTAAGGATTTTACAATTTCCATTCCAAAAAGCTGGAACAAGATAAATTTGTTGATTCGTGATTATTTCGTGTCTCAATTTTTATCTACATGTCATCTATAATTTTTTTGGATATTTTGAGGTATGTTGCTTTTATGGAGGATGACTTTGTCAACTCGATTTTGGAGGGTGACGATCGTAGCGGTGTCACCATACTGACCAAAATTTGCATCTCTTGAAATTTTTTTTTTAATAACAATTTTTGTTGGCATTTTTCTAATTGTTTGATACTTATGAATATAAGAAACTTTTTTATGCAATTATGTTTCTTTTGTTCTCGAGCCGTTTCTTTATGTAATTTTCTCTATGTATTGTAGGTTGTCGCAGGGCTCTCATCCCTTATTCACAAAAATCGCACCAATCGAGTTGACACGGTAATTTTTCGTTACGTATTTCCAACATTCAGAACAACTACATTCTTCGTGAATAGTGATATAACAAAGATGCGATTTCCCCACAGTGTTTCTTGGCCTTGGGAAAGAGTGAGGGACAGATATTCAGCAGGCTTTCTTTCTCCTTCTAATATAACTGAAGACCAACTACGCCCTGACTTACTTCACAAAACTAAAGAAAACTGTCTGTACGTTTTAGAGCTAACCATAGGCTTCGAAACAAATTTCAGTTGCAATGCTAACTGAAAGTCAGAAAAATGTGCCACCCTCCTATCTGACTTAAAACGTCAGTTCAAATCACTTTCATTTTTCAATCTTTCCATCAGTTCACTTGGTATTTTTGGCAACTGCTACAACTCTCTCATCGACATGTGTAACTCTTTGTCCATTGATCATCAACCGAAACGCTATCGCATCTCCAAACTTTCTAGCATCTCCATTCGTACCATATATAAAATATTCAGCTGTAGAAACAAAACTTGGACTAACCCAGCTCTACTCCCATTTAAACGTTTTTTTGCGTTACTAAGATTGTAATAGTTTTATTTTGTAAAAGCAGGCTAGCGAGTTAAAAATTACCTATATAATAGTAAGATTTATAATTTTAGTTTTAACTGGAATACAAAATGAAAGGTTTACATTATCTGAGAAATTCATAGCAGAACATTTGGTTGAAGAAATGCTTGATATGTATTTCAATGCTTGCCCTTTCTTTGCAGAAAAGAATGTTATTTCAGCATTTCTAAGCAGCACTAGCCCTTTTATCGTGGTATATTATTGTTATTTTTCAATCATGGTTATAAATTGTGCAGTGTTGAGCCTTCGACTCAATGGATGTAAACTGTAAAAGTGACATCAACATTCACCGCGGTTACATATAACCATTACTTCTGACAAAACTGAAAATAATTTGATAAATGTTAATATAATTGACACAAATTCCGTTCTTAAGTTTGCGTTAACACCTGATCTTAAGATTGATTATACAATTTCCATCTCACAACAGGCAGAGCTACGCCGAGTAGTCTCCTTGGCTCACGATGAATCCTCCCAAGACCTGGAGGTGTGTATTTCACAATAGGTTTATCTCGTCTACTGAGCAGCATTCCTGGTTCAGCTGACTCAATCTACTGAATCAGTTTACCTCTTTTTATATGTTTATAGTCAAGATCTTTTTAAGATTATTTGTAAGAAGTTTCACGTGGGGAACTTCCAAACTGATTTCATCCTGATACATTTAATGTTTTGACTTTTTTAGGATTTTTGTATGAAATTATCCTTCGGTTAAATTTTAGTATATTACGTTTTTTATGCAATTAATTTTCATATAAATTTTTCAGGTTAAAGAGCTTAGAGGAGCAAAGGGAGAAAAGGTAAAGTTGATGTTTTTCTTCACTATAGAAAATGAATTGGAATAACTGAGCGTTTTGATATGTATCTATTTGCAAACAGACGAAAAATTCTTCATCTTTTTACATTTCAGTACTCAGTTTTTCAAATGGGCGTTTTTTGCAATTAGACACTTCTTAATTCCTTGAAACTATCGCTATTTTGCTAATATTTTGCTGAATGTAATGTTTAAATGTTAAAATTTTAAAATATAGGTATCAAATTGAATGATACTCCAATTTATACAATTCTTTTTTTATCTAAATCTTCCAGATTAAATGATTCCACATTGAATTGCAGTTATAAACATTAAGGCTCCAATTAAGTCAACATATCTGCGTATTCTAATACAGTCATCAACTTATTACATAACCTAAGTATTTGATCGTGATGTTGCGTTGTTGATTATTTCGGTCATATACTTTTAATATTAGCAAACTAAAAAAATGAGTGTTTCTAAACTGGTTTGGAGCTTTGTACATTTGACAGATAAAGAGATAAATGCATTGGTTTCAGCTCAAGGATGCTTAGGTCTTGCGTTTAGCCGTTTAGTAGACAAGGGTTTTCCTATGTAGGCAGTTCCTATACATATCCCACAAGGTTTATCTCTTGATTTTGCACTGGAAATGGTTTCTTAAAGGAACCACTAGACTTCCCTTTAGTAATCTTCTGTGGGTCACCTCTGAGAAAACCGACTGACCATTTGCCAATTTTATTTATATATTTGTTGCTAAGTTGCAGAGTTATATTTATTGTATTAACCTTGTACATAGCCTTCGCACCAGTCCAAAAATTGGCAGCACTGTGGACTGAGGCTTAGGCAGCCAATTATAGTTTTTCTTTGCTAATTTAGCTATCACCTTTGATGAACTGTTCCATTGTTTCTCTCTTTATAGGGAAAGCCTGGAATTAAGGGAGAAAAGGGTGCCGTTGGGGAAGTTGGGCAAACTGGTCCCCAAGGACCACCAGGAAAGCCAGGACCGCCAGGGTCTCCAGGAAAGGACGGATCACGTGGCCCACAAGGATTTGATGGAAGACCTGGGGAGCCAGGACTGAAGGTCTGTTTCTTACTCTTTCAAAAACAATACCTTCCTTGAAAAATTATATTGCCCTGTGAGCCAAAAATTAATAAAGTTGCGAAAAGGAAAGTGTCAATAATAATTTCTACTGTGTAGCTCAAGAATAAAGAAATGAATTATCTTATTCAGGCTTTTACTATTTTGAAATTTAGATAAAAACTTTTATTTTCACGGTGACAAGGCTTTAGCAAGTGCATGAATTTTTATTCATGTTGTCTTTAACATTATAAAAATATTATTTTCTTGAACGGTTTGAAATTTTATGAATTATCAAAAAGTTGAACTCCTTGACAAGAAACTATTTCTCCGTACACGACCATGAAGGATGAAATTAATCATCAGTAAGCTGGAAAATTCTAATTTCTGAAAGTTGATTTTATATCTAGTAAGCCGAATTTCTAAGCCTTAGACATCCTTAGATAGTGATGCGTACAAAGATTTTTACGGACTCGCAATTCAAATCTAGTTCATAGTTCCTACATAAGAGTGTTCTGGGGGAGACAATCAGAAATTCTATTAACCTCGCCCTTGTCTGGAGGTTTTTTGTCTTCTTCGTGTTTTCTTCCAACTGCTTCTGCAAAAATATACCATGAGGATGCACCAAATTAACATCTTTGCTAATATATATGATTTAAGATGTTGATTATGCATTCCTAACGTGTTAAGTTTAAAAAGCCACGTTAGGAGCTTTAAAAGCGATCTGTACATTTCAAATAAATGGTCGTACTCTCCATATCGAATCCCATCTTCGTTGGTGTGACGTCACACTTTAGTAAATTGTCCCTGGTGTTAAAGCCATTTCCATTTTGTTGAAGTGATCGTTCAGTACACTTTTCAATATTTTAGGGGGAGAAAGGTCCACCAGGATTAATTGGCTTGAAAGGTGAAAAGGGTGATAGCGAAGTGAGTGAGACAGCGGTAAGTTTCTCATTACTGACTTTACTAGCTTCCCAATCTATGTTTTACTGCAACCATGAATTTAAGCGACTTTTTTGAAGGCAGTGAGGTTTGGAAACCAAGGACTTTCGAGACCAGTTCTTGGTTCATTTTTTTGACTATTAAGAATTCCACCCGTATAACTTTTAGCTCCCTATTTATCTTTAAATATCAATTCGATTTGATTTGAGGGTTGATAAACCATCAATAGCTATCAGCTCAAACGTGGGCATGTTCTTTGACTATTACAAAGCTATTCTCTATAGCGATCACAAATCAATAGCTAATCAAACTGATCAGAACGAGGGAATATTCGTTGATTATAAAGCTAATCAAAGCAATCATAAAACAATCAAAGAATCGTCGGCACTTTCCTCAGAAAAATTGAAATATTTGTAAGTATAGGAGATGGATGAATAAAGGAATTAATAATAGTAAAAGATTGGCTGTATTTATGAATCAATAAAACCTCATAATATCATGAATGTCAATGGCTTTATACGGTTTATAAATGGATCATCGTTATTGTTGTTATCATTTTTATAATGATTAAAAGAGGCCGTCGTGTTTTCGTGGCCACAAAAATTTTCAAGGTCTGTCACTTTAAAAAGTTGACCCTTCTATACTCCTCAAATGAGTCCGTGATTAATGTAACAAGTTGCAGCCTCCTTCTAGTTATGCTTATAGTCATTCCATGTTTATCGAGTCTTGAAACCTGAGTAAATGCAAATCCTCTTCCATAGTTACTTTAAACCTAATCGTGAGATAAGGACACAATTTCGGCGATGTCACGTGCATAGGGTCTGGGCGTCTAACTACCAATACCTGTCGCGTTGCATAATTTGGCACAAACAAAAATGAAAGACCGATGCCGTGTTTTTACAAGCCGTATACGGCACTTCTACACTATTCGGATTTTTAGATCCTTACAAAATACCTACTTTACCGAGATATGCTATGCGATGTATTAGCCCTGATCTCTGCCCTCATCAGTAAAATACAATATCTAGGCCTGCTCGAATGAATACTAAATTCCAGACGATAAAGCATCACCGCTTTAAAAGGAGGGAGAACCAAAAACAAAGGCAATCCCCTCTAGTTGTACATTTGGAAATATTGGTTTTCAATGTCGGAGATTGTTGCATATCACATATTTGATATTCAGTTCAGAATGGGTACGCAAATGTGTTTGTGGATGGTTCTCGCCGGTGTGAATATTTTATCTGCGGAGATTGTACCCGTATATTGTCTGTTTTTTCAAAGCACATACTGCCATTCTCCCATGCGAAATGCAAAATTTCTCATGACTATATCAATGATGAAACCGGTTGAGCTTGTTGCAGCTGAGATATATGGTCCAATAAGGCGTCTTGATTTTTCACACTTGTCCTTTTCATTAAACGCCTAAAAAACGGGAAACCCCAAAGCCTTACAAAGCTAATAATTATTTTTCTTCTTCTGGTTCCCTCTCGTTGCTGCTCCTTCACAGTACACTGTCAGAAATGCAGTCCTCGGAGACTTATGGCAAGTCAAAAACAAATGCCATCTTCCGACAATCGTCTTTCTAAGGATTGGGAAGAGAGTAAAATTACCTGATAAAATATATATGAAATGCCATAAATTGCTTGTTTCTTGAACAAAGAGCGTTTTAAAAAAAGGGCTGGGCTTAAATAGGGTTAGATTTATGGTTAGGTTCATGGTTTAATCTTGAATTTGAAAATTCCAACAGAATCGTTATTATAAGAACTTGAATAAATCTTGTAATTAAATTTTATTGAATATGCTTTATGTTTTGAAACTTAGTACCTGGGACCCTGATGGGCCGTTTCTTACAAATTGTTGTCGAAATTTTATAAGATGGGCGTTTACCAGAGAGGATGTGCTTAATGTTGTTCTCTAAGTGGCTCAGTCATAAACACGATTCTGTTTTCAATGACTGTCTAAATGTGAGGGGCAATGCAGTGTACTTTCATAATTTCATCTGCTCAAGGGAAAAAAGGTTCCTCGTGTAAATTAAGATATCTATGAGTCAGCATCTTCAAAACGTCCTTGTTTTTGCAATAGGTTGCAGGTGTACTTTCGTACTGAAATAGATTGTCTATTTTCTTTGACGACCGTTTGCTTTAGCCGGAATAATCGAAATTCTTAGCCACAGTGATGGGTACACGCTATTTTACACTGCTTGGTGCAGAGTTTTCTCGAGTTTTCTGTAACTGGTGCGAGGGCATTTGCGCTCTTTAGTCGTGGATTACTTCAAGTTCGGTGTGGAATGACGTCATTATTGCGATAGATTTGAGTAACAGCAGACACTTTTAGCAAATACTAAGCTGCAACTGTTGCTTCACTGGGATGCGTTTTGAGATTATGCAGAATGAAAACCTTTTTTAGGAAGCCATATCCACACTTAATACTATTTAAAGCACTTAAGAGGAATTTTGGGTGGCCAAGCAACACAATATCAGAAGATTTCTTATACGAAAATGACAATTTCAAAGCGAGACAGAGGAATAAGGAACCCTGTTGTAATATAGATGTATTCAGATTAAAGATGAAGTCAAACACCAAGGATTGACTATCCCCTTTGCTTAGTAAAAACTGTTTTCTCTATAAATTCAATTTGATTCAGTTATGTTATGTTATGTTATGTTATGTAAGGTTATGTTATGTTATGTTATGTTATGTTATGTTATGTTATGTTACGTTACGTTACGTTGCGTTATGCTATGTTATGTTATGTTATGTTAAGTTACGTTATGCTATGTTAATGTCAATTTGTTAGTTTATGTTTTATCAAGCATCTGAATGCTTCTTTGAAACGTGACCAGAAAATTTTGATAAACTCTACCAGGCAAAAGGTATATTGGCCGGCTTATGGAGAGTTTCTTTATCTTTTTTAAGCAGGAATTCATGCTGTATTTTTTCATGAATCATGTTTGTGTATTGCTATCCAAATCGGTCCAATTCTGTGTATCCAAATTGATTCATGTTTGTGTATTGCTATCCAAGCATCTGAATGCTTCTTTGAAACGTGACCAGAAAATTTTGATAAACTCTACCAGGCAAAAGATATATTGGCCGACTTATGGAAAGTTTCTTTATCTTTTTTAAGCAGGAATTCATGCTGTATTTTTCATGATTCATGTTTGTGTATTGCTATCCAAATTGGTCCAATTCACGGCATATCAGATGTCACGCATCTCTAGATGTCTGCAGGACCGCCGAGAGGTTTTGAAGGCCCTAGGGCAAAAGCCATAGACGAGGCCCCTTGCGAGCAGAAACTTTTTGCGACCTTGCCCTTTAGAGAAGCTTGAATCCATTCATTTGTTCAAACATTTTTTACTTTTTTAAGTATAATTTTGTTACTTCTAATTAATTCATTTTCAAAAGAAATTCATTGAAATGCGAGTCCTCCCTGGACCTTGAGGCCCTTGGACAATTCGCTCCCATCCCCCGCCCCCTCCCTCCCGGTGGCCGTGGATGACTGGTGTCAGGTTTCGTGGCTTTGTCACGATCTTAATCGTTTAATAACTTATAATTTTGAAGATTCTTTTGTATTAACTAGCTAGTCTGTCACATATGAGTAGAATCCACTCATATGCAACATTACCATGGGAAATGGTCATAAATTAACAATAGAACTCCGAAATAATTTGAAAAACAGTAAAGAATAAAGTTTAGCCAATCGAAGTGTAGCCAGTTAGAAGTTTAGCCAATGGGATTTAGCTGGATAACTGGCAGGCCATCTGTTGATGTCTTTGCGATGCTGGCTTTGCCTCGAGTTTATCCATCTTTTGTTTATGTATCATCCGAGCTTTTCACAAAAACATGCCCCATTTCACTGAGTCTTCGCTCTTTTGGAAAAATGCCATGTCGTCATCTCAGCATTTTCTTGACTTAAACGGCATGAGATTAAAAGTAATCGTTGGTTTTTCGAGGATTTTTGTCTATTTTCTAGCCCTACAGTGTCATCAAAAGTCAATAACCAATATTGAAGGAAATCGTTTATCCGTAGTTCCCAGGCACTCAACATAGAACCTCGAGTCATCAGGCAAACTTTGAGCGTTTTATTCTAAAAGTGATTTTTGCTGTACGTTTTCAATTCCAGCTTATTATAAATAGCAATGATCTTTCACAAAAAATGTATGAAATTATTGAGGTAATGTTTCACAAACTTGCGCCCGTATTTGGTACATGAGATTCAAAATTCATAAACAGCCAAACTCCTGGAATTTTCTGTTCCAAATTTTCATTCTAGAAAGGAGGCATTCATTAATTGTATTGCATATGAAATTATTGAGGTAGTGTTTCACAAACTTGCCCCCGTATTTTGTTCACGAGATTCAAAAATCATAGACAGCTAAACTCCTGGAATTTGCGGATGAGGTCCTTTTGATTCGCTCGCACCGTTTTCTATTTTACATGGCTACGAGGCCAAATGTGATCTCCTGGCGAATTCTTGCAGCGACTTAAAAAAATCATACGTCATTGATCGACAAGGTGTGCCCGGAATGATGAAAATATTTAAAAAATCAGGTATGAAAATGGCGTCTTCAGTGGCGCCAAGGAAAGTGGTTTCCACGGTCCAAACTAAACGCATTAAGCGGTGACAAGTGACGGCTATGATACCATTAAGGTGGATTGTTTCGACAATGTTAACGCCATCCTTCTTTTCAGCGTGAGTGACCTCAGTCGCCTAATCCATCAATCTCTGTCTTCTTTTAATTAACCTTCCAACATTCTCTAGCTTGCATTTGGTTATATTTATGTAGATAACCAAACCAAGAATCGGTACCTTTTACCCCCATTTACGACAGCTGACAGTAGAATTTTGGGTTATTTTGCAGATGAATGTTATGCACTCATTTTTCGATAAGACATGTCTTGTTTTTCTCTGAACTTTTAGAACGGTTTCGTGAATCTCTGAACTTTGTGAATCGATTTTCATAATTTTTCATTCTTGTTACCAAAGCCTGCTAAGTAGACAGCACATCACCGTGTTTGCTATTTTTGCTTTCCAGACTTCACAAAATAATAATCACAAAGAAAAACAAACTCTGTTGTACAAAAGTTTAACCAAACTTGTCGAACACTTAAGTATCCTAATTTCTTCATCAATCTATTAGGAATTGTTTATCAAGGCACATCTCATGTTCTAGATTTTAGAGAATAGGTACTGCCCATTCACAAGATGATAACCCAGTGTGTTTATTCGTGAATATTTTCAAGAAAATTAGGATTTTCTCAAGAAAAAATGGAAGAAGTTTCCCTTTCTTTTTTCTACTAGAGTTTCTTGATGGAGTTTCTTTTTTCTACTGGAGTTTATTGTGTATTTCAGGGGGCGTACATGAGTATTTTTTTTGGGGGGAGGGGGGAGAAATATCTTTCATCATCAGAAAAATATCTTTAATAGTCAGGGTTGTTTCAGTCAGGGACGATGGAGGGTGGGGTGCATGGGGACGGTTGCCTCCCTAGCCTCTTGAAATTTAGCAATATTCCGTATTTTGTTGTTGTTTTGACCCTTTATCTTGATGCCCCTTGTTGTGGATTGGTTCGTTGCCCCCCTATACCTTGAAGCCCTTTGCCGTCTCTGGTATCAGTTCTAAAAGCGTGTTAATTAACTTTATTCCTGTTGGGAAATATTTTGCTCAAAATTCAGAAGGAAATGAATTGGCAGGATGAGATATACCCTTCATCAATTAATCATCCCGTTTAGAAGTCAAAGAAAATATTTTCCTCCTTCAGATGAACATAGCCCTTTCTCCGTTGTTTTTAGAAACACATGTAATTGAAGCAGTAGATCGCGGCAACCGGAAATTATTACTGATAACGTAACGTGTTTTACTAAAGAAGCCCTTTCCAAGTATCGTATGGTAAAGTCCTTCGTAGCACTGCTATAAATACACACATTACAAATTGCGTGGGTTTAGCGTGCCTCCCATTGTCGCCAAACAGTATTGTTTGCAAAAGACACCCACGTTTGAAAATTCATTTGAAGTTCCACATTGAACTGGGCTAAGTACCATCTACTGGTGCATTTATTTTAACAAATAATTGCTCACTCAATATGGATTGAAACCAATGATTGAGACAGCAAGATTTTCACTTGATCCATTGAATCAATTTGTGAAAACGAGGATACCCGGACAAGAGTTCTCATTTCAAGACTGAATTTATTTTAGCCCACCTTGTACGTATGCAAACAGGAGCTGTCTAGTTTCCATACTGCTCGACCTGATGACGTAATTAGTTTACCCTTAACCTAACCCTAACCCTAACCCTAACCCTAACCCTAACCCTATGCTTGAAATAATTAATCATACTAATTTATTACTATTAATCATGCTTATTTATGACTATCAGGTCAAGTAGTATGGAAACTAGACAATTCCATTCAAACAAGTTTGCAACTACGCTGGTGCCAATGGTTCATCAAATAACATCTAAATGTTGTTTTTTTTAAACTTACATCTTATCTGCATTCGCAAGTAGCAATATGCCTTAGTTTTGCAAAAAGTCGCTTCATATTTGCGTCTTCAATTGATATTCTTTTTCCATTTAATCTCGTTTTTAGGCCCTTTTTCAAAACATTAGCAAAACTATTAACAATGTGTTACAAAAGTAGTCGTTTTACAAAAAAGCGAGAACGACTACAACTATAACGAAAAAACCTTAAATTTTATCCCAGGGCTGTATCAATCTTTTCAAACAGCATACCAGTTTTTTCGAAACAATAAACTTTTTAGTGGTTTTTAGGGATATTTATTTCAGAATTTCGCGTACAAGAAGAACATTTCAGACTTTGCAAACAAAAAGCGTACAGGATTTGCGTGGAGAGGTCTGGGCCTCGGTTCTGTCTCTAAAAATCCCAGAATTCATTTTTCGTTTGGTGAAAATCTCGTACACTTTTTGCAAATGTGAACTGCAACATCGATGTGGCCTATCGGGTCATTTTTGATAAAGAACTCTGTGGTTTATAGTTTGGTTTCTTTTAATGTTAGTATCAAAGCCTTTCTTGTAGCTTTTGGCTTTCTAGAATCATTTTTTTCATAGTTACTTGTTGGTTTACTTTTCTCTGGGTATATCCATTTCAAGCCCATCTTACTGCTAGAATAACAGAATTCACATAGCAAAAAAAAACGTTAACGTAAATCCAAAACAAAAAGTCATAACATTGATTGCCTTACATTGTAACTGCCATTCATGGAATGTTTTCGCACTTTGAGACGAGAAATATTCAATGTGCGGCAATTAGGGCCCTAATGTCGCGAAACTAATTTGATACAAGAATTAACGATCTCAAATTGAACTCAATTAATGTGCGTTCTTCTCTCTTTGTTTGTTTCAGTATGTGTAAGGAAATTACCTCTTTCCTATTTCTTGGATACCCATTAAGTCGTGTAAAGTGAATTGTCTTCCACGTAATTGCTTTTATGCGAAGAATTCTATCTTTTGAATAAGGAATCTTGCCAGCTGCAGCGGTGTTCTCGTTCACTGTACAGGTCATTACAAAGATATTAACTGGCATGCTAAAAGGCACTTTAATCGAAAACGTGTGGATTTCGCATGTGTATTCTGACACGAGAGACAAGTGGCAGGTTGAACACCAAAACTCTCTCAAAATTCTTTTGAAGTTCCTTTCTTTTTAAGCATTTTCCAAAATAGTTTGTTTGATTTTCATGTTTCATTCATAACCAGTTTACGCAAAGTTTTCGCGCCAAGTCATACAGCCCTTTTTGTGTTTTCTAATATGTTAAAGTTTTTGATTGTTAAAAACTAAAAAGAATGGGTTTCAAGTTTTCCCTTTAGTCATCCAAAAAGATTTGTCGAAAGCTTTTTCTTACTCTAGTGTCTCTAATAGATAAATGCCCCCCCGTGTATTAATTTCAGAAGAATTTGCCCTCCCCCGTCGATTATTAGCACCCCCATTCTATTAAATTTAACAAGTCAAGTCGTTTGATTTTCATTATTCCTTGTTTTTCATAGTTTATTGTAAAATCTCAAGCGTACAAAGGAAACCAATGATTTTTGACTTGGTAGTTAAAAGCTGTAAATTTGATTTATCTTTGTATGATTGCAATTCTCTCTAAAACTATGCAAAAAATGAAATCAAATTTTGACAGAATATTCTAAAAGGTACTTCGATTTCAAAAAAGGATTGCTGACATGAACACCCCATTCTATTAGCACCCCCTTGTTATGAAAACTGGTCGACATGAACACCCCCTTCTATTGAAAATTGGCCGGAATGAGCACCCCCCCTTCTTTTACCCCCCCCTTCTTTTAGAGACACTAGAGAGTACCTTCTTAGTTGTTTTTTTACTTTAGTTGCTTCGGGAATGGGGGCATCAGTTTCGGGTAGATATATTTTTAAAACCACTTTCTAGTATATGGCCCCTCAACATCTAGACGCTGTCCTTTTATAGAGTAACATTCTTAATACTAGACACTCCTCCATTTCCCTGCTCTACCTCGCCAATTTTTTACAACACGACAAACACATCTGAAGACTTACAGACGGGCCTCAACACTCTGCAAACAGGCATAATAACAACAGGCATAATAACATGGGCATCAAAGAACTTTCCATCTTCAAAGTTAATAAGGGTAATAGCATTTGATAAGACATTTGATGCTGATAACATTATAAGTCCAACAATTGACGCTGTATTGAGAGCAATTATGTGATTTTCAATTATCGTTTTTGGGCTCATGTTTTCGAAAGGAGCCATGCACCTGGCAACTGAATGCCGTTCTCTTCAACTTTTTAAAAGGGGCGGTGCTACGTGGAATTTTTGGGGGTGTGACACCCCCAATGAAGGAAGAATTGGCTTTTTACAAGGCAGATTCAGTTTACGTAAATTCAAACTTTGCTAACCTTGTGGTCTGCATAAATTAAGATATCGACCTGACACAAGGGTCCCCAAAGAAATTTTGCTAGCAGCGCAAATTTTTTGAACTTCTGTTTTTAGATGAAAATATTCCAATTCGTTCTTATTGAAATTGCATTTCTGCCCTAATGTTGCGGTTCCACTGTAAAACTATAAAATACGGAATATACATAGATACACTTTTTAAAGTACGTAGACCACCTGCCATTTTTTGTGTCTAAGTTATTTTCAAAAATACCATAACTAAGAAGAACCAAATACAAGAATTATCCGATATCTTTTTAAAAGTCACAAAAATCATTTCCATATAAACTCTTTTTACACAGAGACCATAAAGTTTAGGCTCCAAAACCATACCCTGTCATCAAAGATATTTCTTTGATATGGCATTCTCAAATTTAATAGTACCTCAGCCTCAGTTTGTTTTTTTCTGGCCAATTTTGAGGCCCCTGTTCTGATATGAATATCGTTGCAAGGAAGACTGTATTAAATTGCATATTAATTGATAATCTCATACCATCGAAACTTCACCCAACAGCTCTGCACGCATAAAGACATACGACACTTTCATAGTTTCGTATATAAAAAGGTCGATAATTTCCTGGCCCTAAAATACCATATAGACCTACATCAGAGAACATATGTTATAGCAATGGTACAGGGCTGCCGAGAGGGGGGCAAATTGCCCAAGGGCCTCGAGGTCTAGGGGCCTCATAAAGTAATGAATTCCATGCTTAAAAATGTGATTAATCAGATGTAGTAACGATTGCAGGAAACCTGAAATGCAATTGCATCGCATGTATAGACCAACTTAGATTTTGCGATGCCATGAAAAAGGTGGTGCAAAATCGCAATAAATACAAGTTGGTGCAAAAGTTGGTGCAAAATCGCAATAAATACAATGTCGGCCTATGTCACCGAAAGAAATATAGAACAGCCTCTATCCACCATAAATTTTTTGCTGGTTTGCCCCACCCAAGGGATTGGAACTAGCTAAAAATAGAATTCCATCACGGCGAGAACTCAAAAATGGTCTATTAATCCCCCCCCCCCCCAACCTCCCTCTCCTTTGGGTATCATCTCTCAGAAAAGGGTCTGCCCTGAGCAGCAGCGGGACTGTGGGGCCAAAAACACCAGGGGGGCCCTTGTCCTTTACAATTCCTGTCTTTTTTCTTAGATGTGGAGCCCCTTTTGGCTACCATAAGCGCGGGGCCTGGGGCCATGGCCCCCTGAAACCCTCTTTAAACCGCCACTGGCCTTGAGAAAACACGTTCATCTTGCCTTCTAAACTTTTAAACCCTCTAGTGAAATTCAGTCGCAAAGGCTCTGCTTCAGCTCAAATTTAGCTACAGACATCCATGCCAATGTTTATGTTTCGACATCCGTTGGCGTCATTGATTTTTCAACTGCAAGAATTTCAGAACCCATCTTATAAGTAACTTTAGCACAGTAGAATTGAAAAATGACACGTTTTCAGCCATTGCCAAATCATTCCTTGTTCACACCTATACATCGAATCCTAATTGACAAGCAGAGCGATTAGGGACAATTGTTTAACTTGAGACTTTGCAACTATGGCCAGGATTGGTTTGTTAAAAGGTGCAAACTCCCACGTCTCTTGTTTGAATCACATTTCCTGTTAACAAGATTTTACTAATGGCACCTTCTAAACTGGGAACTATTTGTTCACATGTCAATCGAGGAAGTTTATAGTTTGGTTATATCATCAAACGTTCCTTGTTTAACAGCTAACTTAATACTATTATTTAATTTTTCGCAATTTCCTTTTCTTGGCTACTCAAAGTCAAATGTTGTGTTTTGAAACGTTGTTAAATTGCACCATTAGTCATTTAATAATATGGGAGGGACCTAAACATCCGCACTTATTATGCGAACAAGAGAAGCATTTCCTTTAACGAGGTTGCGCTGGATACTTGGAATCCTCCTTCTACTGTCCCATTCTCTGGTGGGGCTCTCACTCATCTGTGCGATATCATCAAAAATCTTTCGTCAATGACACATTGAGGTGACTCTGTCTAATAATCCCTGCCCAGAACTTTCAACAAGCGTGAAGTAGGCGGAAAGATTATTCTTATTGTGATGTTTTCCTTTCACGGCGTTTACAGGTTTTTCGAAATAGTCCTGCGGGTTAACTTGCAACATTTTTTGAAGTGCGGTGAATGATACAACGACTGCAGTTTTTCCAGCGCAGCTCTGCGGCAATTGTAACCGGTGTTTCAGCTGCAAGCAATAAATATTTATCATCGAGCCGTGATAGTAGCAAAGGTCATGTCAGGAGGCAAGCGTCAAAGTGCATCACACAAGTTTTTGAAAACTGCCTTCACCTGAGTTGATTAGTAAAGAATTCCCTTCAAGGTGAGTATTTCATTTCCAGATATTCACGCTTTTAGATAACTAATATTTTTCTAATTTTTCACTAGAAATATGGGTATCGGTCGTGTATTTTTCCGAGAGTTTTGACGATATGGATAGATAGGTCCTTTAATAAGTATTAAACAGATGCTATAAATCTAATTCGAAGTTGATTTGACAATATTCCAGGCAGATATTGCTCAGTTATGCTTCTTACATATTGCAGTTCTGTAAATACCCGGATCTAAACCTTTGGTATAGCGCGCTTAGGATCAGGTTGCCCTCTTAAAAATTTTGTAGTTTTGTAATCCTGGCTTGGAGGAGATCCCTACTATATTTGGCCGCTGTGTCACCCGACCATATCTTTTTTCGCTTTGCAAATGTATCAATTTTGCCCCGACACAGAATGTTCACTTAAAAGTCCAAAACACAGAATGCTGACTTACGAAGCGACCTCGCAAATAAATGAAACACCACAAAAAGGCCCAATATTGACTTACATTTAAAATTGCCGCGGCATCAGCACAGTGTTCCTTTATACAGTAAACTTTTCCTGAGAAGTGCAGTCTTTATAGAGCCCCTTTTGCTAAACAAACCTACATTTAAAATATCCCAATCCAACAATCTCAGTGTTGAGTTTCCTGCAAATGCATTTCCTAGCATAGCAAATCTAGGACTTGTTGACAAATGAGACAAATATAAACATTTTTGCAAGTCAACCTGTCTGGCTATTTACAAACATTGCTGCAAACATGAATTTCCCAGCAGACTCGCTATTATTTTTGTAAAATAAATCTCCGTATCTCAAAGTGGTGTGTTTACAGTATGCAACCCCGATTTGGGCTTCTAATGTGATTTTCAACGCATTTACTTAGCAGCAAAGTGTAAATTAACTTTGCACTTACCAAATCTAATGACAGTGTAGGGATATAAGACTTATTCTGTTTTTGCCTATTAAAATTTGTTTTCTTTAAAACAAGAAATGTGTTTTATTTCAGAATGCGCTAAAACTCAGTGTCCAAATGCTTCCTAAAGATCTCGTAAGAAAGGATTGTCCTTTGTCCTTTGTCTTCCTGTCATGTGCAGCCACCATTAGGCTGGCTGCCCCGCCTTTAATCGTTTTTTCTTTTGTTTTTGCTGTCAATATTTTTGATAGAAAATACAACACCAAGATGATAAATGCATTTGCCTATTGTTTGCTTGGGCATTAAGGTCAGGCTCTGGAAGCCAAGACTTAATTTTGTTAATAGCCGAATTGCTCTAATTCATTCTTTCATAGGCTACTAAAGCGAGGAAAGGAGAGGACATAGGTTAGAGGCGAACTAGACTTGTGTCATAGGACGTTCCGAATTGACTTCATCAGATCAGCTGTATCGTTGATAAGATGATTCCGCCTCCTTTAGCAAAACAAATAGGATGAGACAATTATAAGACATATCAATTCAATAAATCTTAATGCTTTAATCGTAGGGTTAATACATCTTATCATTTGTGGAATATTGGATCTTCAGTATTCAGGCTGGGCAACGATAAACTGCGCAGCGGAAGAATTGGAAGAGAAAGTTGACTGAGCATCGGACACATTTTGTTAGAGGCTCTGGTTTTGATCTACGATCCTTGAATTTCTCGGCATAATCTTTAGATGAAACAGCTGCAATTCTGCAACGGAAATTAGTACAGAATATCGATACACTTATACGAAGCAAGTTACAGAATGGATTGCACAAGAAGTACGGTATTTCCTTATGATACGAACGAAGGAGTTTACGGTGATCTGTCTTCAAAGTACTCGTCAAATGCAGGCAGTTATTATCGCAGTATTCCGTACAACCATACGAAGGGATACAGTTCTCCGGTTACATTTGGAAAAGCAACGCTAACAAACGAACAGCCCCACGATCTGTCTGAAGGAAATTTTTCATTTGGACACGGTGAATCTACTTCTGAAGAGAAGTGTCACTACTCTGGGGAACATTATCTACATGCAAACAATAACACCGACTTTACCGGCCACAACGGACATGGTTACCTGAGAATATCGACGCAAGACTCAAGGTTCATCCAGCAATCTGGAGATATGTACCAACAAACTGGAGGCATTGATTCTTTTGGTTCAATGATGAATGGAAGTATTGAGCATTTTCCTCATTCGATTCGTTCATCTACTGCACCCATGTACCCACCAGACATCAAATTCAACCCAGAGACAATAGCAAACCAACTCGCTCATGATTTTGGGAAATTTGGCCCTTATGGACATGCTTCGTCTTTTCATTCACATAGATTCGGTCCTTCAAATGGCTACAATTCTAACAGCTATTATGCATCGTCAGATTCTACGATAACAAACACACATAGTACAGTGAACAACATAAATACTTCGTTGCCAACGGGGTTGCAACATAGTTCTTCTCTTGGAATTTCGTCAAAGTTACAAGGCAATGTACTCTCTAGAAACTCAATTACACCAACTGGAACACTGTCAAAGGATTCAGACGTGGAACAAGTCGACGAGACGCATAAATGCAAGAACACGATTGAAGGAACAAAGACTTCTGTCCGAAGGTTCAAGAAATGGTATCGTGAAAAGTATGGGAAAAATATCGATATGAATACCATAAACAAGTTTACTGCCCCAGAGCTTTTGAAAGATTTCTTCACTGAAATTAGGGATACACGGCCAGGACGAGTTGGTAATGATTATGAGCCTGTGACGCTTACGACATATCGTAACGGACTGAGGCGATATTTTTTGTACCGAAAAGTACCGCCTGCACCAGACAACTTCGATCTAACGGACAAAACCTTCGATATCGTCAACAGACGGCTCATGACTAAGCGAGATGATCTAAAACGAAAAGGTAAAGGTAACCATCCCAATGCAATAGAGAGCATAACACCAGAGCAACTTGACAAAATGTGGGCTTCTGGAGCCATCGGAATTCACGCACCTAGGCCACTGCTTCGACTTCAGTGGTGGCTAAATACGGTTTTCCATGGGATCAGAGGGAGAATGGCACATCACGACCTTTCCATAGAGGATTTCAGATTGACAAGGAGTCCCGATGGAAAGCTGTGCGTGGAGTACATAAAAGGGATCGATCGGTTAAACAGTCCAAAAACAGAGGCATCAAGAGGCAAGAGACGTGGCAAAGGAAGGATTTTTGAGACTGATGGCAGCGAACGAGATCCAGTAAGAGCATTTGAGACTTACAAGGCACACCGCCCACCTTCCATTGGCTCATTTTATCTGACACCCAAGCAGAATCCGAAAGGAAACATTTGGTTCAACAAGGTTCCAATGGGTAAGAATTCTATCGGAAGAATAATGAGAGAAATCAAAGCAATTGCTGGAATAAACTGATTTTATTGACCAATATCGATTCTATTTCGATTCATCTATTTACAATTGAACTATCTTACATTTATGAACATTGGTCGAATCTTGTTTATTCGACTTCTTATCTAGTTTAGTCATAGATTAGATTTGTTAAGAAGTGTGCTTCACTTTTGAATAAATTTAGCATTAATTTGAATCTTAGCATTTAGCATTTGTTTTGAATTTAAACTCAACGTAATCACAGTCACTTTATTCATAAACATGTATCGAAGAAATGAAAATTATGTAAGCTGTATATTCCAAATAACTGGATAAGGTGCTCGATTTGATGAAGGATCTGTTTCTAAAATCATCGACTCATTTATTGAAAAATATAGATAAAATAAATGAAGACGATAGTTTCCAAATTAGAATGAAAAACCATATAATACAATGCATAATCGGTTTCCCTAGAACACAATCTTTGGGAGAGATACTCCAAAGTTGTTAATGTTGTTAAACGTTACTTTGATGTTGTTAAGAATCATACCCAGCAAGAAAGATGTTCTACTTTTTGCAATCCGATAGCATCAGTGTGGTCTTTTCATCCACGCAAGTTGCCTACTCGTTGAGGTCTTTAACAATAAGACCAAGTAACTCTGTTTGTTTTTAAGCAAGCAAATCATTGTACAAATTGTTTGTAGATACATGAATTTTATCAATTATCATGATTCGAGGCTCTTTGTAAAAACTCTTCTTATGAAATAACTTTCTGAATGAATGGCTAAAGCCAGCACGTATATGACCACAGTCCTCAAGTATACCAAAGCACAATAAATTATATCATCTGAAGCCATCAAGTAAGACATTTTGCACTTCAATTCACAAATAGTCAACGGACCAAAGTTCAACGGCTCGGGTCTGTTAAACTGAACTGATACACGCTTTTTTATCAGGAACCTAGCGTGTTGCCTAGTTCTTCAAGTTCCTTATTTTTGGACTTGTTTTTCAAAGTCAAATTCAAAAGTACCAGAGGTTCTTTAGCAGTTCCTTAATTTAACTGGACATTTATTTCCATGGAAATTGAATATAGTAAATTAAAAGTCTCTATAGATGTCGCTAGATTCTTAACTGTAGCTAAAAAACAAGATGAAAACAGAAAGAAGACTAGAAAGACATTTGGTATATGCAAAAGTGGAAATTCACTCAACATAGAAAATAAAACACTGAAACACTCAATAGCTATCTTCGTAACACACAATCTGTGGGAATTTAAATTCCAAATGTATTAAACCGGCTTTCTAATTCATGATTGTTTGCAATTATAGAAATATTAAAAATTAACAAGTTCCTTAAGAATGTTTTCAATAGTACTAACGGTTCTTTAATTGTTTTTCTTTCTTCTACATCTAGGTTCTTTTCCGTATTGACACTCGCGTTAAGCGTGAGGACCAAAAAAATAAGAAACATAGCTTGAAAATTTATAAAGCTGCCTCGTTTAGGGTGATTGCTGCATGATTTCGTTAAAAGTTTTTCATTTTCAGCCTAGCTAATTTCTAGACGGAATTTCGATATTTTTTTACTATAAATGATGATCTTGAGTGGAGTACCCCTTATTTCTCATACCACATTTATAAAAGTTTTTCATTTTCAGCCTAGCTAATTTCTAGACGGAATTTCGATATTTTTTTACTATAAATGATGATCTTGAGTGGAGTACCCCTTATTTCTCATACCACATTTATAAAAGTTTTTCATTTTCAGCCTAGCTAATTTCTAGACGGAATTTCGATATTTTTTTACTATAAATGGCGATCTTGAGTGGAGTACCCCTTATTTCTCATACCACATTTATAAAAGTTTTTCATTTTCAGCCTAGCTAATTTCTAGACGGAATTTCGATATTTTTTTACTATAAATGATGATCTTGAGTGGAGTACCCCTTATTTCTCATACCACATTTATAAAAGTTTTTCATTTTCAGCCTAGCTAATTTCTAGACGGAATTTCGATATTTTTTACTATAAATGATTATCTTGAGTGGAGTACCCCTTATTTCTCATACCACATTTATCGAAGTATGAAAATGCTGAAAACCATTATAATATAATTTATTTATGACTAAGCTGATAAAAAAGATTGACAGGAAAAGGCAACTGGTCATCACATCCTTAATTGATAATACTTGGGCGGGAAAAACGAAATCGGTCTGCCACTGTTGAATGTTTTAAATTTTCGGTAAATTGAAGAGATTTTAGGGTCGTTTGATGTGGTCGATAAAAAATTTAATTTGGTATGCTCTGATGTAAAAGTCTGTTGTGTAAATAAATGCGTTTCTAAAACTGGCATGAATGTCATCGAGAGAGGTGTCGGGTTTTTGCTCTCCCTACTTTAAGCGTTTTTGGTTGCTAACCAGTTGTGTCAGGAGCTTTTTTATGCCTACTTTAAGCATTAAATGGAAACTAAACTAATTCTTTAAAAACAAGCAGGTAAAAGACTTTAGAGACCTTCTCCAAAAAATTAGTGAACTCCAGAAGAGAATGGAGGTCAAATAAGAAGTGAATTATCAAACAGGGTCGTCGGAATGTCTTGACAACTGTTTAGACAAGGTACTGCTGACTCTTCAGTCATATTTTCGCTTTTTCTGCCAAATCATTGGCGGTAAGAATTGCGTTAGCAATACGTTTACACATGGAACTAGGCAATTTAGAAGACAATTTACAAGACGATACAACAAGAGGTGTGATCAAGCGCATCTCTCCTGCAGCCAACAATAAAACGACAAAAACAGTGACTAACGATAACAAAAATATAAAAGAAAGACAGATTAGAGAAATCAAAAGGGGGTGTTTTATACGGCCATTTTCTCACTGTATCATCAAACGCAGGGATGTGGAAGGGTGAGGCTTGGAGCTGAAGTGCTCCAATAAATTGCGAAACCATGTTTTTCATATTTCCAAATTGGAAGCAGTGGATGTGTCTGTACTCTCTCAACTCCATTATCTATTGAATTTTGTCCTAGTCAAGCAAAAGTTACCATTTTGCTAACGGTATAAGGGGATGCGAGCGATATCATTTGTGCTTATAGTTGCTCGTAATAACACAAACAAACAACGTATTGCCCCTTCCTATAAGGGCAGCACCATGTGACTAGAAGTATGAAAATTGCAAATCCAGCTTACTCTAGCCAAAGGCTGTTCCATCATCTTGAAGAGTTTATAAAAGTGAAAAATTATAAAAAGAAGAATATTTTGTAGGCGGAAGCTTTGATTTGCGAGCTTTGAAAATATTTGACTTTATTCCACCTTTTAGCGCAATCTTTTTAACACTTATATGGACAAATAAACTCTCTTGAGCTAATCGTTCAGTCTTTATCTTTTTGCAATTTATCTGATAGATGGCCCTTCCCAAAATATTTAATTTACCTAATTACATCCTGGCTTAAATTATTATAATTGTTTGTTTCTTTTTTTGCGAATCAATTTTTGATGTTTATCTCTCCAAGTAATTAAAAGCCAAGTGATGAGATGGTTGTTTTGTTTTTTTATTCAAATTGACTGGATTGCATTTTCTTTGAAAAAATATTTGGTTGCTGTCTTTTTGTTTAACTTTATATTGGAACTTCAACCTGAAGCTTTTTCAGATAATTGTGACAGTAGGTCATCGTTCTTGTCTTAGATCCCCTTAGGGCAGAACCAGACAACCCCCTACCCCAATTTATTTCTTCGAGATTATCGAAAGCATCTCCTTTTTCCAACCCCCGTTTCTATAGGTGAAAATTTTCGACTAGAAATTGAATTCAAAATTTCCTTACATTCGCTTCTAACCTAATTTGCTTCAGATAAGGTTGTCCTCCCCTTTAATGGAAATTTTCCTATTGATTAAATCTTTACTTTAATATGACCCCTCTTATCTTTTAGCATCTCCGGCCCCAACCTTAGACAAGTCACAAGTAAAGGGGGTGGCAATCCTTTCTAGTGGGCTTTTGTGGGTGGCCCCTATCATGGCTCTTAATGGTGGTTTATATCCATTACGGACCTTGTATGATCTACAAAGTCTTACTCATAATTGAAATTTAAATTTATAGTTCCCTAAAATTTAACCTGATAATATTAGCATATTGTCCGCTCCAAATAGCATAGAACGAGTAGCAAAGCTTGGCTGTAAACCATCTACACTACAAAACTGCCTACTATTAGTGTGTCAAAATGTGTCATACCGATTTTAAAATTTTGGTATTGCGTTCGCGCTTAGCAGCACTGTTTTCAGTTCTTGTTCCTGGATCCTTCTAATCCCAGTCCTTTTGCTTACCTGTTTAACACAGGAAGATGGTAGCGCTATCCAAATTCCAAAACCTAACAAAATGCCACCAGTGAGGTAAAGCAACAAAAATGCTCTCGGCAGACGTTCCTCCCCTTAAATATCCTCAAATAATTGACGCTCAGTCGTTGCTGTTTTGCAACTTTACCGATAAATTTACACGGACAGTTTTACATTTTGGGTAGATATTCATGATGAAAAAGACATCGATTTCATGTCTTCTTAAAATTGCGAATTTTGATTCTACAACGGCAGCGCTAAAGAATCCAGTGGCCTAGAACCACATGACCTTGTCCCATTTGCAATTTGCAAGCCGGTTCATTGGTAACGTGGTCAATTTGTAACTTGGTTCATTGTTCGCCATCATTGCTACTACACTTATGAAAAATTGTAATTTCATGTCTCGTTAAGCAATCAGAAAAATAATGTTTTGCCTCTAATTAATCAGGAATCTAAACAGCTAAATATAGCATCACCCATCCTTGTATATCTTTGCAATTAATTTCTTGCAAACTGTGACGAATGACGATATCGATTAAGTTTTCCTTTCAAGGTGTTCTGCTTGCACGTTCTTGAATTTGTTTTCGATTCCTTTCAGAACAGAGACCAAGGTCCTGCCCCTTCGAAACCTTTCTTTGAATCAAAAGCAATTACGCACCCACATGCGATCAATTTCCTTAATGATTTGTCTGATAATGAAGCATGCCAAAAGAATTTAGATTGCTATTTCAAATTGAAAGAATTCAAGTTTGCGGTGTACATCACTGCAATTTTCTTTGGTTTTCTCCATAGATTTTTTTTAAATTGCTTGTAATTATTTTGTTTGCTCCGGCATTAACCTTCGGCATTTTCGATGCATTTTTGTACACAACTCGAAAACAAGAATGTATGACGTGCACTTTAATGAAAATTTGCTGAAGAATTACAGTGATGATTGTATCAGGCAACAAAAGGCACCTGTTCCCGCAAAAAGTTTCCCTGTGTCAATTTTCCGTGTTTCTTTTCAAATTTCAAGCAATTTCACTTCTCCTTCACCTGTTATCCTAACTTTTCCTCTTAGTTTTAGTTTATTTGCCAATTTACCGAAAATTTCCCTGTTTTTGTTTTCGAAATTTTCTTCCCAAATTTTGTTTCCATCGGGCATCGTTCTTTCACATCTCATATCTTCTGAATTAGTTGAACCTAAGATATACACCTGGAGTAAATCTAAGTTTCAAAGGCAAAGAGCAACATTGGCCCAATGGTACCTGGGTCTTTAGATCGGGTTTTTTTATTTCTTTATTTCTGAGAAGATATCTAACAAGGAACATAATTTCATTACTTTTCTATTGTAGGGATTATCCAAAGTTGCAATGAAAACATTAGTGGAAAGAGTTGCGCTGCTGGAAGCATCATTGTTACGCTGTAAGTTGCAAATTTTATTCAAAAGAAATATAATTTAGATTATTTCAATTTCTTAAGTTGGAGTAGCTATGTTTTATTTCACAATTTAATACATTAGCAAATCATGGTAAAAGGCAAAATTCAAATTCAAATTACTTCCGCAATTTTTTTTTGCGCTATCCATCAGGGGACAGCAAGGGTAGTGGTCCCCTTGTTCTCGCGAAATTGAGAATTTATTTTCGTTTTCCTATTTCTTTGCCCTTTTCTTGGCGCTTTGCCCCCGTTGCCCTCTTTGAGTGCAGGCTTTCCTGCTTATAGCGGGTTTGTTAGTAAGTAAAACTGAGAGTAAAACAGTACTAGGAAACAATACCTTTAATAATTTTCGACACTCTTAGGACAAAAATCACAATTTAGATCAAACCTTCTAGAAAAAAATATCAAAATCAAAATATCTTCAAAAATGGCATTTTGTGATTTCTATTTTAGCTATGATGTCATAAATTTGATTATGTCACTGTAAAAATTTAGGGTTAGAGAAGAAAGCAAACGACCAGAATACCACATATTTCCTGTTACTTTTCTTTGGACAAGCTCTGGCTAGCATCGACGCACCGATGGCTATAAATTTTGCAAAAATGATTTTTACTCAATGAAGAGCGGACAAGTTGGCAGATTTCATTCTTCTGAAATTAGTGAATCATACACGAATTAGCAACCACGGAGTCTGCGGCACTTTCACGAGTGCCACACGATAGTTGGTAGTGTTTTAAAAAATTTGCGATTATTTTCTGTGTACTAATCGAAATTTTCTGACCAATTTTTAGGTGGATGCGAGTCTATGACAGCTGACAGTATATTCTTAAAAAGTTTAAAGAACAAAGGAGCTACAAAAACTGTGAATGTCTCAACCAAAATAAATAAGAATGTGATGTCAAAGAAAAAACTAAAGGGCGAGCAACAAATTGTTGATGAAATGAAGAGTATTAAAACTGACGTTCCAGCTATAAAAGGAACAATTACTGCGCGTCCAACCAGGAAACTTGGAAAAATGGTAACCACTAAAAACGTCGAAATACCTATGAGCACTGAAAGTAATACCATTGACCATTTTAAAGGACAGAAGGCAGATTCTAAAGTGGATAACTAGATTCTGTTGCATGGAAAACCACTTAGTTTAGTTGACATTAAGATAGTTTGGAAGGCATATTTATTTAGACAGTTTTGTTAACTGCATTATGCTTTTTTGAAAGATACTTTTCATAAAGAAACATCTGAAAACTTAGACCTTTTATGCTCCTACAATACAATACTTTCCTAGCAAAGTTGGAGGCCTTCGTTTTGTTTGTTAATGATAGCTTATTTGAGAGACTTGTTTTGAAGATGTTTTTCTTATTCTGAATTTTCATTTTCCATTCGAAATTTTTTGTGGCATTTTGCTCTTTAATTATGCTCTTTGCATTATTTCTTTTCATCGTTTCCATCCCACAGATAGATGCTATATAAACTTTCCAATTGTTAGCTTTCCAATTTTTACATAAATCATATGGAAAGTCCTTACGATTACTTAAGCTAGAGAAACTATAAGAAAGAATAAAGTATTTGTTTTTGAAATTCCGTAATAGGTTTTCGTTTTCAAAGCATACAGCGTTTTATATCATAGTTGTGTAGAAAAATTTTTCTAAGTAGTTGTATAACTGAAAATTAAAATATTTTAATTGCTAGTTTTTAGAGCTAAATTTGTTTAAATACATGATTTTGAATGCTGTGTACAAGAGGTGTAACATTGTGTTAGTTCCACGACTAACGGCTTTGGAACATTAAATGCAATGTTTAAATGAAGCATGAACCTATCGTCTAATTTACAGAAATTTTGAACATTGCTTTAAATAAAAAGTTAGTCGAGATTGCCAGTAACCGCTTTTGTTGTTGCAAAAGAAGATATGTTTAAAGATTGGAAAAAAGAAATTCCATGCAGTAAAAATGCATTTATTCAGGAAGAAAGCATTCAGTGCCATTTGTATGTTTAGACTCTCGGAATTAAGACCTTTTGTATGGCATTCCATTTTATTTCCTATTGTACGAATAAAGTTTGACTAGTTCCTGTATTTGGAAATTTTTAAGTCGTGTTTGACGTCTTTCTCCAATTCATATATTTCATCCTTAATATTTATTTTCCGTTGTGGATTTTGTATATTTCATTACTTAAAGCTTACGTCACATACTGTGTCTATAGACATCTTTCGTCTGTTATTTTTTAACAATTATAGTTGTTGTTGTTACTCTAATGCTATTCTTGTAATTGTAGGAATGTTTGCTGCTGAGAGAATTGTGTTTTGATCAAAGTTTTACAATTTTCTGCGTATTTTCCCTCTATGTTTGTGATGTTTTGATTAAAAGTGTTCTTGCATTTCAAATATTTCCTGGCTTTGATCAAGGGAAATATGACCAAAAGATACAGACGCAATGTTGGGAGAGAGCAGACGACTAGCAGACTACTTCTGCTATTTACCATATGTGTGAGATTTATCTTAATCATAACAGAGAAAAAAGCAGACCCATAATGAGAAAGAAGAGAAGTGTAGAGACAAGAAGGTGCTCAAATCGCTTCTACTTTTCTTTTTCGATTATGCTCCGGAATTTTAATCGAGTCTCTGACTCACATTTTCAGAGCATTATAAATCTCTCTATGATCAAAAGCCTAGTTACTCTAGTGCCAGAGGAGACAAGAAGACTGCATTTCTTTTACTGGTTAATGGATTTTTTTTTGCAACTGAACTTCAACAAAAACTGAAACTGCAATCTTTATCTTATTGGCTAATCGACCAATTGAAACCAAAGGAATTTTGAGTATTTGAATGCTAATATTACGTCTCTTTCCTTTGTTTAAAGTTGACACTCAAGAAGATTATACAAAAAAAATTAAACTAAATCGAGCGAGAAGATAATACTAAATCGATCTACATGCATGGACACAAACAGCTCTTTTGATAAAAACTTCAACTTTGGTTGTTGAAAACGAAAAAACGAAATAAATTGATTGTCTGCGAAACTGATTCCACTTCATGTTTGTTTTGTTACACAATCTCATTTAAGGAAGGAAGTTCTTTGGAGAACAGGTGCTTGAGACTTCACGACGTCAAGTGGAAAAAAGGTTTTTCACTGGAATTGAAGCATTAATTTTAATTCTTAATAATTTATTTAAAGAAAGACATATTTTATGACGATAAATACCAACAATTCCGGTGTCAAAATTTTCGGTGAATAAATTTCTGTGGAAGAATTTCTGTCATATTTTTGAAGTTTCGGTGTGAATTTCGGTGAAAACGTTGGGTGAACATTTCCTAGAAAAACGAAATTTCAGTGAGGAAAGAAATGAAACCTTGTCTGTAAGTCATTTCTATCTTCAACATAAAGTGGTCTGGAACTCAGTCATGAAAGTTATAAAAATATTATAATTTGATGTCAGCAATAAATGGACTTGAAGAGTAGGCAAGAATTTCATAAACTCTGATTAAGTCATATTTATTTCCTTTTTTGTATCATATGGAGAAAGAATAATTGAAAGTGCTAATAGATTGCAATACTTATGATCAGTGCTGAGGAGAGGGGGGGTCAGGGGGGTCACTGACCCGGGGGCCCTTGGCTATAGGGGCCCATAAATAATAACTCAGTTATAAAAACTTTCTTAGTAATAATCCAGCCTCTGCATTATCACAAACTGTCATTAATAGAGGCAATAATGACTAAGGTCTATAAATGAAGTAAGGTAGAAGCAGTTTGAGTCTTTGACTGTCTGAATGTTAAAGATATTTTTGTTAAAAATTTCCCATCTTTGTGGGCTTGGGCTAAAGAAGTTGAAAAGCTTCTGAATATTAACAAAAAATTGCAACAAGGCAACATACAACAATATGTAAATCATACAGATTTACACCATGGCATGTGTATCTGTTTGCAACAGTGAATTGGTTGTGATCGAATTTGGTTAACAAATTAAACGTTTTCCATTTTCTAAGACTTTTCTAATTTCTAAGAAATTTTCATTTTTATGCATTATGGTGTCAAGATATCAGTTGTGTTCAAATTATACCAATTAGCAAACAGAAAGAAATAGCCACCAGACAATGGCCTAGATAGGAACATTCATAGGAAGGGTGAGAAATTTTTCGACAAAAATCTATCAAATATTTTTTCATAAATTTTAACATAACATAATGACATCAGAGCTGAAATCAATAAATCTTTTGATTTTTTCAGATATTTTTGTGTTTATGTAGCTTTAAATTCATTCCTATCAAACCATGGCAATAAGAAAAACATAGACAACTGTGTTAAATTTCCGACAAGTCCAGACGTTTTCCGACAAAATAGCAGTTTAGCTCTACAGAGGGGGATTGTCCCCTCTGACCTCCCTCTATCTACACCACTGCCACTAGGGCAGTTTAGACACCATAGCAATTTTAGCAACCAATCTAGCCACCAGAGCAATTCTATCATTAGCCAATTTCAAAAATTCCTGGAGAGCATCGCCAAATATTCAGTGCATCACCAAACGAAGAATTATTAAAAACACTAGAGTCATTTTGCCTCCCGTAGTCTCCAATATCAACGTAAGTAAACATGTAGCTGGCATCAGATACTGCCATCAAAACGATGCTGAAAGTTCCTTTATAATTGTAAAAGGAGCTGCCTGAATTTGGGGGGCAATTGATGACACAGTGCTTTCCATCGATGGCTCCAAGACACAAAGGAAACCCCCATAAATTCCAAAAATCATTTGCAAGTTTTCTCCAGTCATCTTGAGATCTTGGTGCAGCCACTGCAATGGGGCTCAATGCACACCATATTTCTCTGGCACTTCGTTTAAAATGTCACATACTGTAGACCTCCCAATCCTATAGTTGTACGAAAGAGATGCCTGTGACTCAACAGTTGCCAGGTATCTTACAGCAACAGCTAGCCTCAAAGCAGGGGGCAATGGCTCTCGAAAACGGGTCCTTTGTCTTACCAACGAAGGCCCCGCAAGGTGTAGAAGATCGTCAAATGTAGACGGCAGCATTCGGAAATAATTGAAGTGCATACTGTGGTCCTGCAGTCTCATCTCAGCTATCAGATTGTTGTAGTGACCTTGCTGCTGTTGATTTTTCCATAGTTTTCTTACCCAAACTGAGCGCGCTTTCTTTTCCTTTCTTTTCAGCAAAGTTGCGGCAATAGCTTGAGTCTGTAATGCTAAAGCAAGCAGCACGTCATTCTGGCTGGACGCCATTTCAATTCTGTCATGAAAACGCAGAGCAATGTGACGCATCAGATGTGAACACATCAATGCGTTTTTCATCGAAACGCTACATGCCGCAATGCGCCGCGCCGCGCCGCGACGCGTCTAGTGTGAATTCAGTGTCTAGTGTGACTTTCTATTTATCTTTCGTCCTGACCCGGGGCCCATAAATCCTCTCCGCGGCCCTGCTTATGATCGCCAACCGGAACGAGGGGATAAGAAATTCTTATCGGTAAGGCGTGGTCTAGTGTTATGTTCCTTCTTTTGTTAGTTGATCTAGAGATTAATGTCAAAATTCAATGTAAGAGCCATTCATAGTGGGGACTAGATGACCATGTGTCTTTTCCCGCTATGATTGGCTCAGGTTATTGTATTGTAATTTCTTTTAATATCATATATATATATAACTAGAAGTAGCTCTTGCTAGTACTGCCCGCAAACAATTAGTTCCTTGATAATGATTGTTTTGAAAATTTAATTTGAAGAAGACATTCGAAGAAGACACCATCTTGGGTTTTCACAATTCTATAAAAACAGCTGCTCTAGTTGATGCTAAACTATTTATTTTATAAAGAATTTCTGGGGTTCAGTTTGCTTTTGATTTATGTCCAACGCCCTTTTGAAAATAATGAAGTTTTTCGAGGGTTTGACATTTATTTTCCATTTTCGTGAAGTAAACAAAGACGTATGAAAATGGACACGTGATAGAACGGGTACAGCTAAAATCGATTGCGATAAAGGATTCGTACAGCAATGTACAGGCGATAATCATGACAATCATAACTTTTGCTCGTACGGTCTCGAGTTTTTGGGAGAAAGGTGTGGCATTCGACTGGTTTTGATTCCCAAAACTTTAAATCAAAACTTCCATTCATTGCGGAGAACCGAGCTGTGATGCAGCACCGTTTTCGTGCCAAAAAACCGAAGGCCTTTAGCAGAGTCTTGGCAGAGCAACGCTCCGAAGATAATTGCTTTCCGCACAAAGAGGTGATCAGCGAGCTAGAACGACCTCCTCGACAAAGCCGATTGATTGACAATGAAATTGATTGACAGTTGTCATGGCAGCAGAAAAGTGACAAAATCTGCTGACAAAGTGCTGACAACATGAACTGAAGCTTCCATATGCTACTTATACGCGAGGCAGACTATAAGCCCTTCACTCGCGCGCGATATAAATTAGATTAAAATAGAAATTCTTATAAATTGTAAGTTTTAAATTGAGGTGTCTAAATTGAAACCGCTGGAACGTTAAAAAGAAATAATTGAGAGAAATTATGAAAGCCAGTAGAAGCATCAGTTTAACCAATATAGAACTCAAATTTTTGGATGTAAAGCTGAAAGAGAAGAAAGTAAAGATGAGGTGGATCTTATTTGTTGATATCAAAGGAGAAGCAGAAACTGAAAATTGATATGAAATGGATGAGCAGAAATACTCAAACAAAATCAAGAAACAGTTTTTTAGCTATTTTGCAAGTTCATCGGTTTAAAACGAGATTTTTATAGCGCTTGAAAATTTCGGTTTAAAAGAAATTTGATTTATAGAAAAAGACTTTGGGGTTAATGCTAGGAAAAGGACCAAGAAAAACCTTGAGTGTCATCAGCGAATAAAATGAATGCTTATAGAAATGGAAGAAAGAGAATCAAGGATTAATAAAAAATGAAATACAACAATCCCTGTGAGGCAGCAGAATAAATTGAGTAAAGACTTAACATGAAGCTATCAACTCCAGAGGACCTATTAGGGAGAAGGCTATCAATAACCTTGATGAGAGTGTGGTACCGACAGTATGGAAGTTTAGAAAGAAAATCTTTTGGGCCAAAAATGATAAAGGACCCTGGAGGTATGGAGATAGATCACTCTCCTCTTAACAAAGGATTTGAGCTCAAAAGAACAAAAATAAAAAACATAAGCTAAATGATCCCGCCAGGTCTCTCTTGTTGAAAACCATCCAACTGATCAAGGGAAAATATTTGGTTTCAAGGAAGGTAAGATGCTGTTTGGCGAAGTGAATGAAATTGAACGGGATCGAACAACTGTTGGCTAGGTCAGACTTGTTCACCATTTTGGAGAAAGAAGGCAAATTAGAAGGGAGATTGTAATATACAACAAAGTTAAAGAAATGTAAAGTTCATGCCGTAGAAGGGGGAAATGGAAAGGTTGCGATCCTTGATCATCAAAGTTTGAACTGAAAGTAAAGATTGATACAGAGGGCTAGTATTGACAGAGAATTTGCTAGAAAAGGACCCATTGCGGCTTTTCATGGAAAGGTAAGAGAGACATTTTTTAAGCTTGTTAAACAATGCCAAAAAAGTTTTGATAACAAAGAATTATAGCAGTATAGCAAATATGAAACACCGCAATACGCCGAGAATAAACAACAATAAAAACACGTAAATCAGTAAAGGCTTATATTTCGCCCCGGCATACGGGGCTTCATCAGAGCAAAAGTTAACGGGCTAAATTTTTTTTTTTCATATTTAAAAAAGGCGATGGTGGTGTCGGATTGGCTGATGTGGAATGGTGTGAATGCAGCGCAGTGGTAGAGGAGGGAAGGGTGGCAAATTAGAGAGGGTTGGTGGTGGTGGTGGAATGAAGACGTAATGGGGATGAAGTACTGTAATATGAAATAATGATATTGTTGCTATAAGGTTAACGGTCAGTAGTTCTGTTCATGCCGTTCGGTGTGAGAGTGTTTGCCAGGCCAATGAGGTATTGCTCTTTGGCTTGTCGGACACTCTCGTTTGTCGTTGAGTTTCAGTAATGGTGTTACAGTAAGGGCTACAGCACCATAAGTGTTCTGCAACACCAGATTTGTCTACTTTTTTGTTGATAATGTCTCATCTGTGTTCGTTAAATCTGTCTTTCAGTCGTCTGCTTGTTTGTCCGATGTATTGGCAGTTCTTGTGTCCGTTAGTTAAACAGCGTTTGCACTGTAATGCGTAAAGAACGTTAGTAGAGTTGCAGTCCAGTCTTTGTTTTATGTCGTAGTTTTTGTCAGTGTTAGGAAGGTTAAAAGAAGTAGTACTATCTGTGATGTGTTGGCATGTTATGCAGTTACGTCGCGAGTGGCATTTGTAAGTGCCTCTGGGATTACTGGGTGTGTCACTTTTTATTCTTGCACGAACCAATAGATCCCGGAGGTTTTTATGTCTACGATAGCTGAGTATTGGTATGTCGGGGAAGACTTCTTTGCATGTTTTGGAGTTCTGCTACAGTGGCCTTTTCTTCATTCACACAACAAAGAATTAGTCGAGATGGTTCTTAAAGCTTGAGAAATATGGCTCGGGGCTGATAGTCTACGACTTTTTTCAGCTGCCTATCATATCGGAAACAGTGTTGTAGCGACGACATACCATTTGGAACGGACTTGAGCTGTTCTGTATGCCTGAGACATACTTAAACCTGCCCACTGCTTTATATCATCTGCCCACGTTCTTCTAGGTCGACCCTGTCTCCTGCTGCCTTCAACCATTGCCATCATCAAATCTCGCTTCAAAGAGTCATGTCTTGCTATGTGCCCGAAATATCTTAATTTCCTCTGCTTGATGGTATCCAGTAGCAGGCGGTTCTCTCGGCAAAGCTCAAAAACTCAGTCGTTTGTGACATGGTCTCTCCAGTTGATACCCAACATTCGCACCACACTTCAAAACTGTTAATCCTCTTCTCATCTTCGCTCACAATTATTCAGCCTTCACAGGCGTAGGTTGCTATAGGCCAGACTAGTGGCACTTTATGACTTCCATTTCTTCCTTTCATTAGAAAGAAAAAAAAATGCTATAGATTTGACATAATTACGATCAGCTAGCACCATGCATTCTTGAGCCATATGTTCTGCCAGCAGCAGTGTTTCCTTTGCTAGCCTCTTCCTTGTTGTTAAAACGACAGTAGCTACCTTTAGTGCAAATGATTTTTTATTGCTGTTAAGTATAAATTTGATTTCAGCTTTCATTTTTCAATCTAATGTACACATTTATACTTAACGCCCCTTTAGTAAATACTCCCCGGATGGATCCTAACAAAAAGCCCGCTGTCTTTAATATGAATATTGCTGGAAATAAGGAAATATTATGACCTGATATGGTAACTACCAAACAGCAGTGTATAATTGGAAAGAAAGTTTGTCTCTTTCCAAGGTTTCCTGATCCACAAACACCTTGTACTTATGACAGGTTTTTTCTTTCAAAAATAAACAGGTGGAAAATCCGAATTGAACCGTCTACAAATATCCAGCAACACATCGAAATCTTCCTCGTGGCTCAAAAATAAGCGAGTTCCTTCTCCCTTTTCTTCATATTTGGATACAGATATTCGGATACCCTTATCTCTGGCAGTCGCACCCCAGGAAGCAATCATGTCAATTAACACTCATATCAAATATTATGAATAGCTTTTCATGTAAATGACTTCTTAGGGATTGTATACATGAAGTGGGCTAGTTTCTGCAGGTGAGATCGTGTTCCCAAGTGATGCGATTTATCCCACTTATGTGAGATGGCCTCTTATTTGAATATTGTAAATGAGGCTTTTTAGTTTAGGGCGCCACAGTATTGAATATCAATTTTCCATAGCAATGGCGAATAACAATTGGATTCCTTTTCTGACCGTTAAATTCTACCTCCATGTCGAATCTTCGAGATCACACGAGAAGCTGCGCATGCGTAGCAATAGTCATTTATAGCGTTGTTTCGTTGCAAACTGTCATCGTTGCATGCCTTTTGTTTTAAACTGAGGGAATAAGGAGTAAATCAAGCGCATCATTGGTATAAACCTGGACAAATCTACATCTCAGTTGCCATCATGGAATATATGAGTGACATCGATGGAAATTTCACTCAACAGTCACAGCCGATTTCTAGTTTAGGCCGACCGCATGGCGAAACAAATGAAGGTATGTTGTGGAATGATGGAATGTAACGACCTCGCAGAAGAGACTAGCCAAGGACAGCAGGGAAAATCACGGAAAGAAAGGATAACAAAGCCAAAACTTTCAAAGGATATGTCTAAGAAAGGCAAGCAAAAATCTACATAGAATCTCAGCTCTCGGCAATCCCAAGGGCTGGAAATAATTGGGCAATCCCAACACTGAATGGGCAATTCCAAACATTTAACGATAATTCTGAGCAATCTTAGGAATAATCAGATATAAAGAAGCAGCTAATCTTCTTGGCAAATTCAATGGAATAGATTTTTGGCAGTGGTTGTTGAAATGAAATCTGTTTTTGATCAGCATCAGGCAGAAATGCTTGAACATCAACATCAATCAGAAATAGATATCTCTTATCAGTCTCAATAGGCGTCAAAGCCCCCAAATAAGAGACTCAAGGAAAATGGGACAAATCCAATTGGAGTCTCAGAGTTAATTGCTGATATGGCAAGATCAATTAAAAAGGCTAATGAAATGGGGCCAGAATTGCATTCTGATTTATCAGAAGTTATCACAAAACAGTTATGTTATGGTATGGATAAAGATGCTGACGATAAAGTATTGAATAATTATTTGACACCAAAAAATTACCCCAGGCTAGAAGTGGTAAGAGTCAAGTGTCAATCCAAGATATTTAACAAAGTAACGAAGGAGGCTAAGCTGGAAGATGTGCATTCTCAAAATATCCAAAAACCACTCCTCAAAGGCATGATTGCTGTTTCTTCATTATTGAGTTCTCTCATGAATGAGGAAGATGCACAGGAGGTCTCTAAGCAGGAGATTGTAGCTTCACTCAAAGATGCCATTTCTTTGCTAACTAGTACTTCGCATAAAATTGACCTCAGGAGAAGTGCCCCTTTCAAGCCATATATCAAAGATGATTATGCATCCTTGTGCAGTGAGCAGACTCCTATCGAGGGCTTATTATTTGGTACTGAGCTTGGGCAGCAAACTGTCAAAGACTTGATAGAAGTCAGCAAACTCAGTTGTCTACAAAAAGACCACATGATCTGTAAAACATGGGGCAAACCAGATATTTATTTGTTTGCTTCTAGGCATAATCATCAACTTAAGCCTTTTGTGTCATGGTATCTAGACCCAGAGGCATTTTCAGTAGATGTAATATCTTTTAGTTGGGAACATAAATTTGTCTATCTTTTTTGCCATTTTCTATGATTTCTAAGTATTGCAAAAGGTGAAAACAGATACCTGCAAAGCAATTCTGATTGCTCCATGCTGGACCTCACAAGTGTGGTATCCAGTCCTTAATGATATGCTAATTTGTACTTTAATCTATTTTTCTAATAGAAAAGATTTGCTTTTACTGCCTCACCAACAGGAGAAAATGCACCCCTTGTGGCCAAAACTAAAGATGATGGCATGCCTCTTATCAGGGAAAGACGTAATAACCTCAACGTATCACACCAAGTATCTGAGCTAATAATGCAGTCATGGTGAAAGATTTCTTGAAAATAATATATGGTTTATATCGAGAAATGGATCAAGTTTGCAATATGCAATAATATCAACTTCATAAACCCTTGTGTCAAAGATGTTCTTGATTTTCTAACAAGTTTACATTTTTCAGGCAGCAGTTATTCAACAATCAACACTGCAAGGTCTGCTTTATCAGCTGTTTTTACCTTGAATGACCATACTGTCCCTGTTGGGGAGGATCCCCTGGTTAGGAGAATGCTTAAAGCAGTATACCAAACGAGACCACAAAGGCCTCGTTATTCATCCACACGGAATGTATCAGATGTTTCGTCATATTTGAAGGAGTGGAGCCCACCAAATTTAATAGATTTATGAAAGCTGACTTTGAACTTAGTCATGCTCTGTGTTTTAGTCACTGAACAGCGATGCTAGACAATGAAATGCTAAATCTAGACTATACGATGAGAACAAACACAAGTTTCAGATTACCTTAAATGATCTAATTGAGCAGTCAAGACCTGGGGTAAAGCAACAATTACCTAATTTCCCATCATTTCCAAATGACCATACACGGAGGTATATTTACAAAGTGCACATTCCTTACGATTCGACAACTTTTTATCAGTTTTGCATATCCATACCAGCCAGTACAGACCAGTACTATATTTAGGTGGATAAGAACAGTCATGTAAGAAGCAGGGATTGATATTGAATTGTGTAAGGCTCGTAGCACCAGAGCTGCATCAACCTCAGCTGCACTAAATAATGGAGTTAACATAGATGTCATTTTACAAATTGCTGGCTAGTCCTCGGAAATACTTTTGCCAAATATTATAAAAAGGAGTTTCTGGATAAACAATCAACGTTTGCAATTTGCATTTTCATTGCTTTCAACATTAATTCTATTTGAAATTATTTGTTTTTTTCTTGTTAAAAGTTATATTTGGTGTCCTTTTTTGGTTAGCTAAATTTTTCTCAAATACAATTCTCCTTCAGTGATCTCTTTGCTGATCCATTTTCTCTTTGCATGATATCTTTACTTTGAAATCTCACGTGATCTCAAAGATGCGACCTTGAGGTAGAATTCAATCATTAAACGATCACCTGTAGGTGATGTTTGATGGGAATTTTACCTCCATGTCACAGCAGCAAGAGATTACTTGCCCTCCCATCGAGGAGACTATTTTTGAAAATCTCATCCTCATGTTCGCAACCCAACCATATATTCTAGTATGGATCAGCCTTCAAAAGATGACTATTGCTACGCATGCGCTGCAATCACCTGAGCTACGGATCTCACCTGAGCGGGCTGGCCCACTCGCCATGTAAACACAAATACAGAGAACAAAGGAATGTATAGAAAGCACGGATCCCACTTGAGTTAACCTAATAGTATACTAACGCCGAAGCCTATTGAACACACATATATCGACATTCAGTATTTGTTCCAGGTTACTAAACATAAACCATTAGGATAAGGGTAAGATGGTCCTCAGAAGGTTTTACCATTGTCAATCATAAGACTGGAGGTGGTGTTCTCTCATCATTTGAACCATTTATTTTTGGGCTGTCGGTGCGCCAATCGCAAAGACGGCCATAAATAAAACCCCAACCGTTTTTGAGGGGGTTGAGAAGAAGAACAATGGCCTTCTTCCGCCGACTAGCAGCACCTTGTTCACGCAAAAAGTCGCAAGCCATATGGCCATCAACTAATGCACGAAAAAAAAGAAGTAGAAAGTCAACATGCATGTAAGGAAGAACCCCTAAAGATATCTAGACATGGGTTGGGTGGGCAGGGTCGCCTAAAATGCGTACACTGTCACATAGTAAACGTGAATAAATTTCATTTAATCAAGCTATTGTCCTGCCAAGACATTAGCAAGCAGAAAAAATTTGCAAAATTCTTGCAACAAGCAGCTGAACTCAGAACAAAAACACTGTATGATAAGTATGATACCCAAGATGTCTGCCCGTGAAAACACGTCAAGACCGAGTATGTTGTCATAAACCACCACAAAAACATCATTTTGTTGTATTTATACATTATTACTGTTCTTATTTTATTTTGCTTAGGCCACACACAATGTAACTTTGCATTGTTCTAAATATTTATATCAATATCATAATAAGCAGCTGATGATTTGGGGCAAAATATTAGATCTATTTTCAAATTTTGGACGGGGAAGAGCACCGATCTGTTTTCCCTCTTTACGCAAAGCAGCTAACGGTCGGTATAAACACCGTTTTTCCAGTAAAACGAGAAAAGATTTCAACTGACTTTTGTCATAAATTGTAGCTACTAATATGGTGATATTTGTAATGGAGATTAGATTCTGTTTCCAGTCATATCTGAGATGACTAGGCATTTTTTCGAATCTTCAACCTTCTGAATCTGAACACATTTCTACCCAGCACCAATTTAGCTTCAAGATTTATTCTGCAAATCTCGCTACAATGCAAATCTCAATAAAAATATTTCATCATCGGTCCTTGAGACACCTAATAATCTTTCTCTTGTCGCAATATAATCTGTAGAGCCAGCTAGACCCTGACATAATTGGACCACTCTAAGTTTGTGCTTTCAAATCAAAGAACACCAAATTTTCAACAGTAGTACTAAAATGAAGTCCGATGTAAAATGGCAATACTTTACTGTACTTTTTATGTACATTTACCTAACTGAATGGAACTTACACGAAAATGAAATCTGCTTTGAAACTATATGAGAACATCTGCTTGCAACCATATTTTGGCAGCAACAATATTTTCACAGCTAATCGTAGTGGAAAGCTTGTGTTGTGCACATAAAAATAAAGTACGGTATTTTGGGTTTTTTCCAAATTGGCAGGTTGATTCGATTAGCGCTCTCTCTGTTTGACTAATAATTCAAATTAAAGTTAAAGATGCATCTTGGCTTTGATAGAAAGCTTGCAGACAAAAAAACAGAAAACCACGGTAAGAAAAATTGGGAGAAAATGGTACTTAACTAACTACACTAAACTAAACTAAACTAATTAACAAAATTACTAATAGGCTTGAAAAAATGGAATTTTGTAAAAATTAATCTTTTTCGACTTGATATGAAACAGAGAAGATAGTATTCTTTTCGACTAAATAGATATTGAGCCACAGCACGTGAATTTTCTACAAATCTTCATTTAACTGTTAAAAATTTAGCGTTATTCAAGAGGTTTTGTTTCATGTTTCATTGGTGGATTGTCATGCGAATTGATTCTTAAAATATCGAAACGTGGGTGTAACACAACCCAAATCTGAAACCAAAATACATGATTATATTCACAGATAGCACTTAAGAGAAGCCTCGGCTTTTGGCGACAAGAGATACCAGGTCAGAGGACTGATACTTGAAAAGACCAATCGTATGGTCAAGATTGGCATAGACATATATGTAGAAGGATGTTATCGTATTCTAGGATACCGATCATATGTCGTTAATATCTTTCAGTGCCGTAAGCATTTGATAATGGATATTAACCCAGAAAAGATTTAGAACGTCAAGATTCAAACCACGTATTAAGTCGTTTTTAACACAGGCGTGACATGGCCCTAACTGACGACCATTCCATCATATTGACAACAGCAAACCTACATTTTAAAACACGCCCTGAATTTGCAAGTCTGAAATATGGGCATTGAGCATTACGTATCATATTCAGTGTACACCCTATCACAACTTCAACACAAATTAGATCGACGCTTATATTAGACACAGAGACTGTTGCTATCGGGACAATATCTGTTAGTATTGATTCAAATCATTAATTTACTCAAATGTGAAGGTGTTTCGTGCCATTATTGATAATAGTTCTCTGTTATCAAAGGAATGGGTAATGAATGTTTTACAAGCATAGACAAAAAAATTGGGATGGTACTTGAAGATGGCTGACCTTCCTAACACCTATTTGGAAAAAGTCTTTCATGGGCAGGAACCATTCTAATGGTCCTATATTTACATATTTTTAAGTAATGAATTTGTCTGTAGCAAACTTGTACAGGTATACAAATAATGCAGTACTAAACATTACTTGCTTTATTTTGCATTACAAATATTACTTTTGTTATAAAACTGAGATATGCTTGGCAAATACATAAATAACTTGGTTGCAGTTTCTTGCACATTGATTATCAGAAAAAACGCAGTGAAAAGGGCGAAAGAACTTTTTGTAACAACTGCTTGTCTTAGTTAATAATGATTTGCGAAACAAAATGAGAAAGTGAAAGATTTTCTATCAATGAGTGCATAAAAAGTTGATACCAGTATAGTTTCTGCATGGCTAACTGAATAGAAAACGTTTCATTTTCCATGAAAAACTTGCAACTTGACATGATTACCATCTTTGTAAATTTGGCTTTTGTGCAAAAGCATGTTAAAGCATTTGAAAAGCCAATTCTGCATACCGCTTTTTTTCCACAAACTTATTACAAATACAAGACTGAAAAAAATTCTGAACGAGTTGCATATAGCTATGATCCTTCTTATAATTAATTTTCACCATATTTAGAACTAGAAATGTAAAATTTCGATTAAGATGTGTATCATAAAATTGTTTAAACTTACAATACGGTGACAATAGATTGTCCTCAGTTGTATTTTATTTAAATCTGTCAAAAGCGAAAAAACCATTTTTTCTTAGTTAGATAAAATCTTTATAAATCTACAATGAATAAAAGTAATCCATCATTTCATTTTGAACAGAAAGACAGCATGTGCAGGATCTGAAGAATGCTAGTCATTGCAAGAACATAACGAAATAAACTGCACAAAAACATGGAAGTCGACAGGCAAGTTACCAAAGTATCAAAGATTTCCAGCTAATTAAACACAACAGCCAGCAAAATATTTCAGATTATCACATGCAAAGTCTTCACATGTTTACTGACTAAGATCGGAGCCTTTTGTTCAAAGTGAGGCTACAACTCAATAGTGTAGCGCATTTTGCGCTTCAAAATTTAAGGTGGATTGTTTGGGTCAAGCTTGCAATTCTATATGATATAAGGTCCATCGGCGGGATATCAAATTATCATCAACTTCTCATGGTAGGTATGACCTGGAAGCCTAAATGTCTGTTGAAAGGAACAGTCGCCTGCTTTGAGCGTTGCGAATCAAGACTTGAGCAGAATGAAATCATTCTTGATTAAAGACATTTTAGATCTTAACTCAAAGGAAATTTCTGATTCTGAAAGACAGGAAAAAGCATGTGTGCAGCAAAAGCTTGATTTAACTATTGGTAAGTAACAATTTTGAAACGATATAAAAACTAATGTTGACTGGCCATCCTTTACGGTAATAAACGCACTAACAAGCATGACATCTGAAAGATCCAGCTGCAATGGAGCAGTAGCAAAAGGATCTTAAAAGTGGAATTATCCCATGTAACAGACTGGTTTGAATGCTACGTTTTAGAGGCACTTTGAAGGAAATCGTATATGAGATAAGCAGGAACATAATGAAATAAGGTTAATTTGCAGCCAGAGCACTTAAAGATGCAATGAAGCAACAGAAATAAAACGTCATACAATCAAATATGTCAAAATTCTAAAAATTATCAATAATTTTGATACAGCCTCTCCTTTTACTTCATTTTAACTGGCTGTTGTTTGGCCCTTTTAGCAAATTAAGGATTTATCTTCATTTGCTAAATACATCTTTGTAGCATTGCAGAGGGATGAGTTTTAAATATCTTGTTTCTGCGCAATTATATCCTGTCATTAAGATATATGCTGAAGTTGACGGACCAACATACACATATATTCCAAGAAATTTTTACCGTTACAAGGTACGAATTGTTTTTAAAAAAAAAACATAATTTTCACAGGATATTTTAATAAAATAAAGAATACAGGGCTTGTTCCGTAGAGAAAAAGCCTCTACCCTAAATTTCTGCGATAAACAACTTTTTCGTTTTGAAGTGCATTTTACAGAAAGTTATCTTTTGAACAGAACATGAAGACATATCTTCGATTAAACAGACACCCGAAGAGACAAGTGATAGCACAATTTGTCAAAAAACTTCGAAGGTTTGGCGGAAAAAGTTTACTAACCTACAAAGAATCTCACTCGAAGAGTCATTCAAAACTCAAAAGTATCTGAGTGTTAAGCAAAGAAACAAATTAGCAAAAGAAATTTGCTTAAGTTCAGAACAAGTGAAAACATGGTACCAAAACAGGCGGACACGTTGGAAAAGGAACCAAATTTCCAAAATGAATAATTCATATTGGTGGAGCAAAACAACAGTCTACTTAAATCGAGACTTTAAAAACCTTTCTTCACGGGAATGCTTGCAATCACACGATCACAAAGAAACAAGATTGCTCGAGAACAATTGATGATCAGCCTATCAATGCAGTGTTTTTCGGTCACCTGACGAAAGATAAGTGAATCAAAGGGTGGCAAAGGAATGCCACATTCTACAGTACAGGTTACCTCTGTTTTGGAGAAAGTACATCGATGAAAGACATTTGAGACATCATTATATCTAAGATATCTAATTTCAACTAGTTATTAATTAGTTTACTTGGTATTGTTCTTTCAACAGTAACACAAATATCTTTTTCCTTCTATGAAATGTATTTTATGAGGGTTTTAGAGAAGAATTCAGAACATATTGGACGTTATAATATATTGTTACATTTTCTACCTGTCCACCATTGAGAGCTTCTATGAAAATGTAAGAAAAAGAAATCTTTCAGGATGACAAAAAATTGGTTTTTTGAAACCAACACCATCTCTACTAACACGTCCTAGATTGACAAAAAATCTTCACAGCAGACACTTTTCCACCTACCGAGTTCTCACAAAATCTTTTAAATTGCTTCTGCCATATAAAATGTTAAACATATGTCGTGATATCATAAATCGGTCGTTCCCCTATTTGCGTCGATAAATCCAAATTCCTCCAATGAAATACGACACCAACTAAAGGCAATGGTGATTGGCTTGGAAAATGTCTCAGTAATGTAAAAGTTGGAGTGAGCCGTTCAGATGAATACCAACAGCTCCTGACCTTTTAAACGATATAATTAGTCCAGTTGCATTTTCAATGGTTAACTGCCAACATACATAAGATTGAAACATGTCAAAGAAAAGACAAAAATTTAAAAAATATATCCATTATATATATTCATTATTGAAGTTTATGTAAATATTCATTAAGGATTAACTTAAAATAAAAGCTGCGAATTTATTCCTAGTTTCCGAACAGTTTGGACTGGAAGACAGAAAACAGGGTCTACATCGAGAATTTTGTTCTTATCATACCCTAGCAACGAAAGTCCGCTGATACCAAAAAGTGTATGAAATGGGTCGACCTGCAAAAAAAGAGCACATTACTCAAGTTATTGACAAGTAAGATGATTGTTAAAACACAAAAAGCTCTATTTCGTTGCTCAAAACCTTTATTAAGCATTGGAAGTTTTAAAATCACATGACGCACTCGCAGATTCATTTTCATTTTTCTTTTATCAAAAAGTTCATTTTGGAAGAATTATAAACAACACTTGTTGACATACAATAAAATTCAGAATCTTTGTCTTACCTCCGAATCTATGGGTAAATTAGGATGATACTGCTTTTAACTCAACAGACAGCTTTTTAACTTAACTCTAAGCGCAATACAACATCTTCATCGTGAATTTTCACATATGCAATCAATGTTATGCCAACAACTTGAAGGTTATAAACATAACACCATTTTTTTTGTAAATTGGAGGGAAACAACAATTAAAGAAAGTGACAAAAGTTGAAGATTGAGTAAAATATTCACCATATCACCGGGTCTATCAGCAATGCCTCCATCTTCGTCTTGTGATGCCAAAATAAAGCGGCAAAGCTTTTTCTAGGTGTAGAAAAAAATATTGCTGTTTTTATAGAGAAAACAATAAGAAAGAAAAAAACAGAGCTTTTTACTGCATTGGCGTTAAAAAATAAGATATCTTTAACAAATAGGCTATCAAATTTAGCATAATCTCTTAGACTGAACACTGAGAGCACGAAAACCATTATTAAAATCCGTTCGTTTAGATTGGACCATATAGTCTTAAGTAAATATCATGAAATACCCTAGCATATAGAACAGTTTAATCTATCTTACATTTGATTTAACCACGTAAAAGATATTGTTTACTGGCCATATATCAGTCGCTTTGTCACATGCATAACTGATTTTTAAGAAAAAAATACGATACTTTCTTAGGCTGTGAGGTCAAACGAACAAATCTAAATTGATTTCATGAAGTAATCGATTTTTCTACTCGATTGTAGGGCGGTATGTTAGACATTACAGTAGTTAAGGAAACTTAAATTCTGATAGCGCTTATATTACAGCACTTCTGAAGGATATCATCGATATTAATGACAATATTAAACCATATAGATCGGTATATTAGATAAACACAATTTTCACGGAAGAAGATATTTTTTCTTCATTTTTTCCAAATATCGTGCAGATATATCTATAACTAGGTCAATCAATCTGATCTGAAAGTAATAAGGTGGCTATGTAATGCACATCTTTCCAAATTACATCATGAAATCATTTTGCAGTATATTTTGCATAGTCCTGTCTATTTAAACACTTTCTATTCATAAAGTACCATTCAATTGGGGCTTTTGGTGGTAATCTTTTGCGAAATTGATAATACCAATTTGATGGATGAATCCTAACATGTTTCAATTGCCTCTCCAAGGACGGCCTTACACTCAATGCAGAACAACTTTTAAGGCCTTGAGAACAGGAATAAGGTCAGACCCTGAACGTGTTGAAGATTCACAAAATGCCTTGATTTCTTTAAAGGTACGCGAAGTGTGAGGTTTTTCTTAGCAAGGGAGGTAACTATATTCCGAATGACGCTATGGGTTCGGAACCATTGTGTGCACTGACAGAAAATACTCATTTTACCAGAAATTCAGGAAAATCAGAATGCCTTTGACGAGCTTAAGCAGAAAAAATGGTCCTGCTAGAAATACTGACCCGTGCACCTGCCATGTCGTATTTTCACACTAACTAAGAGATTCTCAACACAACATCTATTGAAGAATATGCTATCTTGACTCAGTAATCATCAGATTCTGATAATGCTTCAGTGTTGGCGAACCCCATTCGGCATTAACGCTAGCAGAGATGGCTATTCGCAGATGGGAGGAGAAACCCTCTTACAGATAAGATATATGTATGGCTAGCAATGTATGCTAACAACAAATCATTTAAAGACAGCAGGAAAAATGACAAAGTGCCGGCTCAAAATTCTCGTCCTGCAAAGACCCATGACATTTACGTTTTTTAGCTTGTGACCAGAACTCGATTTAGATCATTTTTACGAAAAACCTCTTACTCTATTTATATCTCGATGTTCTGTTTAATTATAATTGCGAAAAACGGCTCTATGATTCTATCTTCTCTCGAGATATGATATCAAAGTGACCAGAAAACAATGATTTGAAGTACTGAAACAAAAAACTATTATCTTACTAAAAAAATAAGAAAAACAAAAAAACTCACAGAAAAACAAATCTACACCGTTACAAGTTTTTAAACTGGTGTGATGGTTTATAAATCCTATTTCTAAACAAAATAATTTCATAGATTGTAACATGTATCTTTTATTATAAATTATCTCAACAACACAAGACCCAAGAAGTCAACAATACAGATTAGCTTTCTTCAAAAATTGACTAACGACATGGACAGCAAGGAGATCAATTCTTGGCAAATCCATCAATTCTCAAGGTTCCAACAGCACAGCTGCTGCACAATCCCTGCCGGATGCACGAGCGTGGGGAATGATTAAGTTGGATTTTGGGTAGAAAAATTGCTAGTGCAAAGGTTAAGGAACAATTAGAAGACATTACCTTGTCAATCCAGTGAAGTTTTCCGATCACTTTGAGAGCAGACAACACCCACCAAGAGTAACAAACATCTGGAAGTTTCTCAGGCCTTCCATTCAGGCCCCCTGAAGGCAGCTGACGTTCACAAAGCCACCAACCGAGAAGGTCTGCATTAACGTGATGTAAACAATTGGCTATAGCTAGTGCACCAACACAACAGTAAACCTACAACGCGATAAGTAAGAACATAGATACTACGTTTCAATGAATAGAATTTCAAGTATCTATCAAAGTGTTAGGTGAAGAATTTGGTAATATGAAATCTTTAATGAACGTCACCTGACCGGCATGTGATTCAGAACCAGGAACACAACCAAAGCCACCATCGAAATTCATACACGAAACAACAAAATCAACAGCTTTCTCCAAATTTATAGCATCAAGCCTTCCCTAGAAGTCAAAACATGATCAAAACTACAAAAGACTGGCAAGATTCAGAGATATGCAATGTAGTCAACTCAAATGTTCGTGAAATTTTGTTTACCACATAATTATATTGAATCTCATTCATAACAATTTCAGAGCCAAACCTTACGAAATTTTGAGGTAAAGTTGTAAACAATGAATCCGTGCATCTCACACAGTACTTTATGAATGTTACTGTGAGCAGGATGGTGCTGTCAGTAAAAAAAGATAATTACAAAAACTGCAGTTTTGTGTATGTGAGAGCTCGTGGTTAGTTTATGAAATAAGTGGTTTGCAGCTTTAACGCTTTGTATAAAAAGTAGTGGTGTTTAACTAATGGTAACATGCTGAAATATGATTAATTATAGTATCAATGGAGCTTCCCTGATTAAAAAAGATTGGCGATAATTTTCAGCTAAATATTTGATAATAGAGGCATAAAGTACGTACAAGCAAGGCCAGGCAAGCTAAGGCACAAAATGAAAACCGAGAATCCTTTTCACCTAAGAATGAACAAAGATCACATTATATTGGCAGTCAATCTTTAAACCGTCACTTTTTAAAACTTTTTAAACGGCATTTACAAAGAGCGGTATTTCAAATCCACAAATAAATAATCATAGCATTCCTTCCACTTGTTTTAATCAAAAAATAATATCCAAGATATTTATAGTAGAAAGCCTGAGCAGCAAAAATATCGCTAATGAAGCACTATGAAAGAAAATATTGTTTGGCATAGTACGCGCTGCACTGACCCCACTTGTCTCCGACAAAAGAGCCGTCTTCTTGCTGCAATTCTCCAATAAAAGCAACAGTTTTAGAAATATCAATTGTTTCTATTTCTTCATACAAAGCCAATATCTAAAATGAAGGCATCAAATTTATACGAGAACGGCCTATTTAAAGTAAACGCTGAATATTAGAACAGGAATGTATCTTTGACTCAATATCACAAGAGAACATGATTCTGAGCGTTAATCAAACAAGTCTGAAATTCACAGTGCAATAACATCGTCTTTATTGTACAAGAATTCATAAGGAAGCACCTTGTATGATTCAATTACTTTATAACTTTAGATAAAGATAGAGGTGAGATATAAGGCGAAACGTGGGCTCTTGGTTTAAGACGCTACATCGTCGTTGGCAACGAACAACTAAAATAACTGACAAAGTTTTCTCAATATCGAAAAGGAAGAGAAAAAACTTCAGCTTGCTTTCATTGCAGGATTCACCAATTTTCCTTAGCTTATTACTTTTCAAAAATACCTTTAGATAATTATATTCAAAACCAAAAACGGTAGAGACTCAACGTCATTTATAAACATGTCTTTTTTAATCTCGCTAAACCAAACCATCACGATCTAGGCATAACGATTTGGAAATACAAACTCAAGCATCAGCGAAACATCAATTAAAAACCAAATACTGAGATAACCTGCACAGCACTCAGCGTATAAAGAAGATGGGGGTCATGATTGATACTTGCTCCAAATCCACCACATGAATGTTGACAAGATTTTACAAAATCAAGGATTTCATCCTTTGCCATTTCGTCTAGCTTCTGAAGCAAAGCCATTGAGGTGAGACACCAGTAAACACCACCCATGCGCAAATACTCTGTCATGACATACTCCTGCACAAACATAAATGAGAACACTTAGAAACGAAGTTTCAAAACATTAGCGAGAATGAAAAAGATTCATATGACAAAAAAAAGGTGCACAAAAAAAGAAAAAAGAATTGAAATAATGAAATAAAAATAGTACAAAATAAATTTTTGAAATAATTACGTTTTGATGGTCCAGTGATTATCCAGAACGCTTATATTAAATTTTCAAAGACAAAATGCTAATAAAGGTTTTTTGTTTAACAGCAAAACCTTTATTTATGACTTGTATGGTACTGTTTTTTGCAATTATAAAATTACTATTTAACATAAATCTCAAAGATAGTTAAAATATCTTCTTACAGACTACAGTAGACTAGACTAGACTACTAGACTACAATATCTTCTTACAGAAATATTGCTTCTAAGGATTGATGTTTCATTGCAGGTGGCCTGAAAGCCAGGTCTTTGATCTAGTGAGAGCCTTTGATGAAAGAAATAGTCATAACCTGGGCATCCAGTTATTTGACCAATTTTAGATTATTATTATAACCTATGTAGAGCTTGAAGGAAAATGATTTCATTCACTTTATTTCTTTTTTTGAACAAAAGGCATAGGAATAATTGCAGTTTGGCCAAGTTGGTACATCTTTGGTTATATGGAAAGTAGGGACATCAATATATAGTGGATAGTGGATATAAGGAAGAAACAATATAAATACTACTTAAAGAACTGCTAATACTTTGAAAATTGTGTAAGTAAGAAGTAGGGCCAATGTTTTATTAAGATTTAAAAGATTAGAGTATGCACACAAATTGTCCAATTAAAACATGTATATCAAATCATATGTAGATCACAAATTCCCTTACATATTGATTCTTCTCTGATTCATAGCTGTGAATAAAAGCAGAGTGCTTCTCAGCCAAGAATTCTGTTGGGGCATCATCTGGTATCTTTATATCTTTAACAGGGGTTCCCTGTAACAAAATGTTTTCCAGACTTAATGCAGACAAAAAGTTTATTTCAAACAATTTTTTGGTGGTACAAAAATTAAAAATATCAAAGAAAAATTTTGAAACATACTTAAGTATGCTAAGAAATGTTTGCTTTTGAAAAGCCAAACAGAAAGCAAAACATAAATGACCAGTGTTGCATCACAGATCCAGCCATACTTCTGGGTATGCCATATAAAGGGTAAATTATTGGCAGACTTAAAGACAATTGATGGATCCAAAGAGGTCAAATTCCAAATTTGTCAATCTGCAAATTATTGGCCAATCAACAAGCACCTGGGTAGAATAAAAATTGTTGACTGGCCAGGCTTATTAACAGATGGCTAAAGGCAATTAAATATCCTTCTATTGCTTTTACCCTATTATCAACTTCACTTTTTGAAGTTACAATAACTGACAAGATTTAGAAGCAACATATATCTTTGCTGATATGAGGCTCATATTTTCAATGGAATCTTAAATATCCGAACAGAAGACGAACAGAACAGAACAGAATAGAAGTTAAAATCATCAAGTTTGATGAACAAGGGCAGACTTTTTGTTTCAAGTGGATGATTGCTTGACAGGTCACTATTTGGGTGAGAGTCGCATGTGCCACAGATGTTTGTGCAAATCCTAGCACCTGGATGAATAGGTTCCCAGTACGAACTGCATAATAACATGGTAATTGGGTAACCAACAGTGATCTCCCATCAATAACCCCTAACTGCTTGTGATTATTGTGAAATATTCATATTCCTCAGCAGGTTTTTTAACTGTTTGCTGACAAACTGAATCCATTGAAGAACAAACTCAATATTTGAATGCTTCAAGCCATCTGGAGTTGTCATAAAATTTCTAGTAAGCACCCTTTCTCTTTGTAGTCCCCTCTCTATTTAAACCTCCCCCCCCAACTAAGTGAAAATTAAAAATTAGCTCCCTTTCTATTAACTCCCCTTATTTAGCCCCTGGTGGCAAAAAAAACATGCACGTTGAGTGGGTATCTTGATGGGTGTGATCATTTTAAAATTGTGTGCATAAAATACGGCCCATGTAGATTTTACTTGTGTGCTTTGAAAGTCAAGAGGATATTGATGTTGATCCTTTCGATGGAGTCCCAGAGGACAAAATTTTCTTTGAAGATGTCATAGAGTGATCAATTGATCCTGGTGATTCTGATGAAGATGGGGACATTGTAATTGATTAATTTTTATAAACTTTTGACGCTGTAAGAAAAGTGTTTTGAGAACATTTTTAGGAAATTTTTATAGCAAAAGATGCATAAGAACATTTAAAAAACTTTTACTCCTTGAATAATTTATAAGCCTCCCCCCCCCCCCTTCTTTGATAAGGCTCCTCTATTTTTAACCCACCTACTAGGATAGGACTGATCAAAGAAGCCCCCTCCTCCTGTAGGGCTTATAGAGCTTTTACTGTTTTGAAGATTTTTGGTAAATTTTAGTGTCTGTGGGCGCTAATGCAGTAATGTACCTCTCAGGATCTATAGGTCCTACACAGGTAAACTATATACCAAACGATAGAATTTTTATGTTTCCATATGAGACCATTGTTTCCTTTCCTTTTCCTCCCAGTTTGCAATCGCCAAATTAGTTTCGCGTTAATTAATTTTGTATCATTTACTTATCTTTTCATTGAGCAAAATGCAAAGAAATGCTTAATATTGGCATTAAAACAAAGAAAGTCAAACCATTTTGATGAACCAGGGAGGCGTTGAACTTTCAGGTCTAACCAGTGACGGGATGCATCTAACAAGGAAAAGCAAATCACAGCATATAAAACATGGACTAAAATTCTACAATTTATCTTTAACTTCAGTTGTGTAACTACTTTATACGAATTGGGCAGTCACTACCAACCAAGTTGAACTTTGTGTACTTCTCATTTCACCTTTTTTCAGTCTAAAACGCCAATATCCCTCCCTCTTTAAACAGCCTCGTTTAAGCACAGACTTCTTGGAATTATTGGAGCACCACATTTTGAAATAGTTGTTGGCCTGGTCAACAAAAGATTGATTTATTTGGTGAAATGTCAGTTGTTACAATTCAACTTGGACAGTGTGGAAATCAAATTGGGTTCGATTTGTTCAAATTGATTGCATTTGATGCTTCTTTAACATCTAGGAAGTCAGGTCTTTTGGTGACTAGTAACGATGACTACCAAGACGAAGTCGTCGAACGGTTTTTTGAAGAGTCGGATAATAAAAACCAGAAGGCAGATTTGACCGCTAGGGCAGTCCTTGTCGACACTGAACCGAAAGTTATAAATCAGTGTATATTAGGATCTGAGAAATATGGTATGATATTTTCTTTTCCATTCTTTAAACCGTATCGAAATTCGGCTAGCTAAGAAAAAGGTCTCAATGTCTACCGCTACTCTGACTTGAGTAGAAGAATGATGCACCCAACAGGCACCGCGAAGCCCTTGGGCTAGCACGGACTATAGCCCCCTCCCAACTTTTTGAAACAATTTGTCTGAGGTAAATGGTGGATCTGAAGCATAATTTCTGTGTGATCCCTTTACCATTGTAAATTAAGTTTGGGGTCGCCAAGAACAAGCAAAAAAGACCAGACATGAACAATCATACTGTGACCATAGGAATATCAGTAAATATATCAAATTGGCTTTTTTCGTTGTCAGGTTTTCCAGCAGTCAGGCTCTATTGCACTCTGCCAGCAGCCTATGTTGATCACCTCAGCATACAACCAAGTATCAAAGTCCTTGCAGTTTCATGTCTTCACGCAAAATCATATGTATTTTGCAACATCACTCTTCTGTGAGCCAATGCTTACAGCAACATGATTTATAACATGTTGTTTTAAACCTAGGGTTATATGGCATGGTTGACATTATGATTAGCACAGAATAATTTTACAGATATTAGATCTACTAGAAACCAATGAAGTTTTGCATGTTGTATGTCGGAAATGAACAAAATATGAAGAGTTATGCTTGAAACGTTGTACAAAATTCATTTCTTGTACAAAGTCGTTATTTTATTTAATCAAATTTACTAGAAGCCAAGTTAGCAGAGTATGGCCATTTTTGACAACATTTGTGGTGTGCCACATTGCATGAGCAGGTGCACGAAAATGGCCCAGAATGCGAAGTGTGCCAGAACAATATCAAATTTTCCAGATTTAAATTTAATACATCTAGTTTTCATGTGTGGCTCTCATAATAACATGAATGCATATTGAGTGGGTCAACTTTGCATACTGTCCAGAAACAATAAATCAAATTCACTAAATGTTTCATGACGGTTTGGTATTGATGGTTTTAACATATCATAATTTTTCTAGATTTGATTGAAATATTGATCATCTTTTAGAATTTTCCTCTTTTGTTGCATTTTGTGCTAGGTGGATGGAGTTTCTCAAGAAACAATACATTCCACAAAAAACAGGGGTCAGGAAACAACTGGGCGCAAGGATATGAAAGATATGGAAAGGAGGTGGCTCATGAAATCATCGATTTGACAAGAAAAGAAGTCGAAAAGTGTGATCTACTTGGTGGTTTTCTAGTGATCATGAGCTTGGCAGGAGGAACAGGTTCAGGATTGGGCACATATTTTACACATTGTTTGAAAGATGAATTTGAAGATTCCTGTGTTGTTAATAACGTCATATGGCCTTACTCTTCAGGGGAAGTTATTTTGCAAAATTACAACACTGTTCTCTCACTTGCACATCTGTATGAAAGCTCAGATGCCATAATTGTCATGCAAAATGACAACTTGAATAAAATCTGTACAAAACTTATGAATTTGAAGAATGTTTCTTTTGATGACATTAACAAAGTAATTAGTCACAAAATTGCAAGTGCTTTACAGCCAGCATTTTCTGGAACCAGCTTACGTAGATCAAATATTTTACAAGACCTAATAAGTGGATTATGCCCCTTTCCAGGGTGTAAACTTTTATCATTAAAGAACATACCACAAATTAGTGAAAAGTCAATTGAATACACAACATTTGTTTGGCCAGCCATGCTGAAACACTTAAGGCAAATGCTAGTTGCAGATGCAGCAATGGAAGAAGGTATGTTTTTAAGAATTTATTTTAGTTTATGTTTCTCAAGCATTTTGAATTTGTTTGCCCTAATTCTAACCTAATGCTATTAGTCATTCAGCTTAATTGTGAGGCAGCTCTGTTAATCACATTGTTAATCTCAGGCAATTTTAAACATCTGTAGAACATTTTGATAACTGTATCTAGGGGAATGGTTTAGAGATTGCTTCTTTAGATACAATTTTGCAATCAAAATATATCAAACTGGTAAATTATCTTTTTTTAAAACTGTCATGCCATATTCAGAATTTACATCTTAAATTGCAGGAATTGATTGGAATGTAAGAGTTCCATCATTTACAAAGGTAAAACAGAAAATTGATAGGCTTCTTTTCAATCAATCTTTGGCAAATGCATTGATTCTAAGAGGAAAAGATTGCAGTGATGCAAGAGTAGAAGATTTTCAACACAAGAGTTTGTGAGTTCAATGCAGGAATACCTGTATATTTATTATTATGTTTTCCCTACTTTAATCATTTCACCAGTAAACGCTAGAAACTGTGGTGCAAGAGATTGTCAATGGAAAATATCTAAGTTTATATCCTCAAAGCACAAGATCTATTGTTCTACTTGATTATTTCTACTCTTTTTATTGTACTTTCTAATCTTGGCTGGTTGAGACCCATGCCACATTTGTGTACTTTATTGCACTTAAATTCAAGTTGATAAAGCTACTTTATTTTTGATATTTTTCTTGCCTCTTTTTGGTTAAATAGATCTATTTTTAAGAAATGAAAATCAGAAAATGTGTATATATACTATGTATTTGTTCATTTAGATATGCTTCCTGGATACCAAAGGATGAGGCATCATCAGTCTGGTATCAAGAGAAAGCATTCAGCAAGTATGAAAAGTCTGCTACCTTAATCAGCAACAGCCAGGGGTTTGTAAAGCCAATTAATTCAGTAATACAGAAGGCATGGGATATGTTTGCTTCACACGCATATGTACACCAATATGAAAAATATGGTTTAACTGATGATGATTTTATTGATAGTTTTGGTTGCCTTGAGCAAATTGTATCAGACTATCAAAATCTTTGATTTTTATGTCTATTTTTTTATTTATTTTATTGCTTGTTTAAAAATATTTATTTAATTAAATTGTCTGTTGTTCAAGGGGTCCTCAAATTTGAAGTCCTTATATGGGCCAAGCAAGGCTTAAATGGCTATTATTGTTCAACATTATTTTTCAAAAATTACTTGGCATTATATCATACTTTTAGTTAATAGGACATGGCAGTTCTAAATTGTTTCGAGATATAATACATTACCCTTTGGTAAGAAAAGGCAATGCAAATCACGAATATTTCAGAAACTAAATAATATTATCCCCTCCTCTTTTATCGCTCAGTTCTATTTTCTCCACTGTATCAATAATACCATTATCTGATTAGACGCATTTGAAAAACATTAAATTCTGTTTGATAGTTTGTTGATAGTTTGTTGCTTGTGGCCTAAACAAACATTGCAAATATTTACTAGGCTAATGAACCAAATATAGATGCAGTTGCAGAAAGAGACTTGCTTTCGTATTTTGCTATTGCAAAATCGCCAGTATTTGTATCCCACATGCATCTGCTTGCTGCTG